ACTAAGTATAGTAGCTAATGATATCGGTGTAAAAATTAAATAACCAGCGTAAGAAAACTTCGTACAGAAAATGATATCAAGTGTCCCATATATATGTCTGACTTGATCCCCACTATGTGGAACACTTGATCCTGGCAGGAACAAGTCTCCCACATATAGGATCATATGATGCCAATACAGAAGAAAATGAAAAATATGTTAAAAATTTACTATTTTTATTTCATCATCATCATCATCATCATCATCATCAGCCGGAAGACGTCCACTGCTGAACATAGGCCTCCCCCTTTGAACTTCACGACGGACGACATTGCGCCAGCTGCATCCAACGGCCGCCCGCGACTCGGACGATGTCGTCCGTCCATCTAGTCGGGGGTCGACCCACGCTGCGTCTTCCGGTTCGTGGTCTCCACTCGAGAACCTTTCGTCCCCATCGGTTATCGGTTCGTCGAGCGATGTGGCCTGCCCACTGCCACTTCAGCTTACAAACTTTGCGAGCTATGTCGGTCACTCTAGTTCTTTGGCGAATATCCACGTTTCGGATCCTATCGCGCAAAGAAACCCCTAACATAGCTCTCTCCATGCCTCGCTGAGCGACTCTGAGCTTCTCTAAGAGGCCAGCAGTTAAGGACCACGTTTCAGTGCCATAGGTCATCACTGGCAACACACACTGGTTATACACCTTCGTCTTTAGGCACTGTGGTAATTTGGACGTGAAGATATCGCGTAGCTTCCCGAACGCTGCCCAGCCGAGTTGGATTCTTCGAGCGACCTCTTTGTCGAAATTGGATCTACCTAACTGGATTGTCTGTCCAAGGTACACGTAGTGATCGACAACTTCGAGAGTATCAGTTCCAATGACCACCGGTACGGGTGCAACATGGACATTCGACATGATTTTCGTCTTGTTCATGTTCATTTTAAGACCCACTTGATTGGAAACGATATTCAGGTCGCTGAGCATTGTACTGATGTGCTCCATCGATCTTGCCAAGATGACTATATCATCGGCGAAACGAAGGTGAGTATATCAATATCATTGATTTATTTCCTTAGTAGTAAATGGTGGAAGGTACCTATAGCATTTATACAAAACTCCCCACCATACCATCACACTAGCCGGGTGATGAGTGCGCGAGACATTCCGTGCAGAAGCTGGGACATCCTTGCTTATTTTAGCGTACATTTTATTGTTTTATCGGTAGGACTTTTCTTTGACAGTAAAAATTTTCTCGACAGTGAAGAGTATCTTCCTGGAATCGTGTCTCCTCAGCAGTAATGGAAAACGTTTGCGTCATAACTGACGAGGGCGATCGTTTAAAAAGTTAACTTTACTATGGCTATAGGCCTCTTAACAACAACCTTAACAACCTTTAGATCATATTTCAGTATTCTGTTCACTGAAACGTGCGAAATAATAGTTTCTTGGCTCATGGGAAAACTTTAAGCACGAGGAAAATCTGTATCGGTTTTTTTCCCGCCTTAAATAGTAAAATGACAGTTGGACATAATTGTTTCGTACCCCCATCAACAAACAATTAAATTTGCGATACCAATAAACTAAAAGTTAACATTTCAAATTCAAAATCGGTAAAAAAAATAACAGCCAGTAACATTTTGTTTTATTTTTCAGTAAAAAGTTTTTTCTTGAAACTTATGAACACACGACGTACATGCTACATTTTTTTTTGACTTATGAACTATAGTAATACCAGTTTCGTCTACGTTCCAAAGTTGGTCGGGACCAAAATTATAGCGCTGCAATAAGCTTTTCAAATTTTCAAAGAAATTTTTAACGTTGTGTCTGTTAAAAGCTGTTGCGCTAGACAAGCTAGTGGCTTCGGGTACATGTAATGATAATTCTCTGTATATGCATATTAAATCCTAAAATTATATTTTTTAAAAAATTAGGAGACATTGATCCGGTGGGAACATATCTCCCATAAGAAAGTGTACCATGTGTACCCTAGGTATGTTGAGGTTATAAAAAAAGATTTTACAAAAATCTACCAATATTAACACTTTTCTATAAAACAGATGTTTACTCACATAGATAACGACTAGTTTAAAAGTGATACATCCAAAATAAATTTACTAATCAATTATTTAATCAAAGTAAAAACATACAAAAAATATTTTTCTGCAACACGAAACACATAAACATCTGCCATTTGCACAACTCTTAAATTTTACAGGAGTGCTAACTTTAGAAATGGAGAACGACGCAAAGACTACAAATTTTGCCAGACTAAAATTATATAGTGTTTACAGAAGCTCTGGAAATCCATTGTATCTAGTCTCCCGTAAGGATCAAGTGTCCTCAGTCTCCCCTATAAGTCGAGAGCTCAGTCAGTGTCAGAATCCTCCTAGATGAAATTACAAATCGTCGCCTAAGCCACTACACATCGCTCTTATTTTTTCTGTCTTTTACGGCCCTCTCTTTGGGCCTGCAGCGCCCACAGGGGGGCGTTATCGCACATATTGGGAATAGCTGCTGTAGATCAAAAACTTATATTAAACGGTCCAATAGTTTCGGAGCCTATTTTTCTATTCTCGTACATTAAATAGACCCATATTCGTCTAATCCCAATATGAAATAGAATCTATAGGCACAAAAAATTTTATTTTTGAATAACCAGACTTTTTTATCAAAACCTGCATGCATACATGAATGCAGTTCGGAATATCTTAAAAAATATAGAATGCGATAAATACTCTGTTGCAGTAGAACCACCCTGAACAGGTATAATTCGCATTGTTGACGCCTACTAGTGTGTCCCAGCACTAGCACACGGCGGTTTGTATGCATCGTCATCGCGAACGTTTATCAAGATGTCTACCATCTTTTGGAGTAAATGTGTTTGTTTTGTATCTACCACTCGGCCAGCGACATTAGCACGCATTATTATAATAATATAGTCTCAATTTACGTCATAGAGTAAACATCATATTAGCAACCGCACTGTTTTATTCTACACTCATACTGCACGAATTTAACATAATTATACGTATTTGTTTATTATCTTGGAAAACCAATAGCTATTCAATAATCATAAATTACAAGCATAATAAATAATAAGCCAATGATAGTTTTCCACATATTTTCGTTTCGAAATTAACGTATCATTTTAGACAACGAAATATTAAAATCAACAACTATCTATTGATTTATATTACAAAACTGACTAAGGGTAGACAAAGGGTTGTTAAATCATTTTTAATCATTCGAATTAAATAATGTATTTTGAAAAATGAGTTTCATTTTGGTTCGAACAGAATATGTTTAATTCATTTTTAGTTGCAATTTTACTGTAAAATGTTTTTATGTGTGTGTGTGTGTGTGTGTGTTTTTCTTATAAACCATAGTTAATAAACAATTTTAGAAATTCTACACTAAACGACTTTATTTCGGACATCTGAGTGAATTTGAATTATGATTGTGAATTTACTGAATCGCAGGGCTGGGAGCGAATCCGTAAAAATCCGAACCAGGATTCGAATTCACTCATGTGGCCGAATTCATGTCATTTAGTGTATAAATTTTATTGATTTCATTTTTTGTATAAAAATACAAAACGAATTGATTGATTATACGTATTTCGTTATTCTATCACTATGTCATTTCGAAACTCACTTCACTTATGCCACAAAACGTTATTACCAATTCATGGTTGAACGGATGCCGCTTTTAATGTGAATTTGATTTTTGATTGAATTCGGGTTCGGAATTTTACAGAATCGCAGGGTAGGTTTTAAACAGGAATTGTACAAATCACTGACTAACACTTAAAGCGAAGTAAAAAATTTGTCAAATTATTCAATTCATTCAATTATTCATTCAATGGTCTGTTTTCGAAGGTCAAATCATTGTCAAATATTACTGTTTGTTACATTTCATATGTATTAATATTACTTAATTGTGGTAACTGTCGTAGGTGGCAAAATTATTGATTTTTTGTGACGTTTGTGTATTTTGTAATACATTGTATTTTGTCACTGTTTGTCTGACCCAAATAAATAGAAAAAAAAGTAATACAAATACATATAGTTGGGTCATTATAATAGGCCAATAATATTTGACATCTCTCAGTCTCAAATTAAAAATAAACTTGTAATGTTGTAAACTTAATATTATTATTATTTTCAAAGTTACGGCAAAGTCACATTTGCAAAATTTTTGGTATTGAAAATATTTTTATTGACATAATATAAAACTAAAGCAAATTATTTTCAAAGTTACGGCAAAGTCACATTTGCAATTTTTTTGGTATTGAAAATATTTTTATTGACATAATATAAAACTAAAGCAATTTAATGTTTTACTTTGACCAATAAACCTTTCTAAATGTAATAAATCTATTTCACTCTAAACAAACTAAACGCCGCTACAATGTTATGTCTGTGAATCCGTTGCCTTTTTAAACAGTAGGTAATAAGGATAAGTTCCATCCTAAGAATCGGAACGATTGTTTAGTCTACTCGGAAGTTGATTTGATAATTATTTATGAAAACATGAAGAAATTGGGATTCCAATCACTAAAATTTTGTTTATAATAATTAATCAAAAATTTTAATAAGCACCCCTCACCATCGTGTTCAGATTGGTAGATGTCAAAAGTGGCTTTTTATAAGGACCCACTGTAGTATGGTTTTGACAGATGACAATTTTACTTGCTACCATGAACGATGCGATAGATTGCGTTACCACCCAACTAGTACTTCGCACCCAGCGAATAGCTTGGATCTAATCAGTTATTTTGTACACTAACGACATCAATATAAAATATATATAATAATAAAAATTGTACGTTGTGGTGTATGTTTTAAATAGAACATCGGCGTAGTATCGCCAAAGAGAATCCTCTGCTCCGTACCATACGACGTTATTTACCAAACAGACATAATTTACAGATTGTGTTTACCATAAATAAATGTATGTTAATTGTACATACTGTTGGGGTAGCGGATTGTTTTGTATTGTAAACAGAAAATACCTTCTTAATGATAGAAATTAAAAATTTATTAACAACTGTTAATTGATTTCAAAGCGACATCATCTTGTCATGTGATTCCCGATTTCACATCTGAACGGTATTGGAGCTGTAACAAACAGATTTAGTTTATTAAGTCATTTGCTGTCTATTTAATGCATATTTATAAAATAGTAGCTCATAATTTTACCAAAAAAGCCAAATTCCTGTAACCAATTTTGATCTTACTTTGAACAGATTGAGCTTAAAATATGCTGGAGAAATTTGGCCTATTTAGTAATCTGACAAGCTGTCGGTACACCTAAGTAGAAATATTTAGTTGACTTTTAAATATAAAAATATTTCTTGAGGTCAAATTAGTCTGCCTCTAGACGACAAATGGAATTAAGTATTTCATTAATTTTAAATTAAAAAACACCTCACTACATAGTGACTCTACCAAAAGTTGATGTTAGCAGGAAACGAATGGACCACAGATAGTCATTTCCGTTCCTTTTAACTAACATATTAAAAAAACTGAAAGGAGAATGGGCAATTTACTATGAGAGATCGGCTATTTTTGCGTAACTGTGCACATTGTTGAAACCAACGGTAAACGATAGAGAATTATTTCTAGAATGAGTAGGAAAAAAACCATTTTAAAATTATGCCGGAGTTTGAAAATATCTGAATATTTAACAGAGATTTTGAGGTTATGTCGTTATAATATCTACATATATAAGAGCAATAAAATGAATAATGTATTTCAAACAATCGATGACTAACAAACATAAATATTTAATTGCGAAAAAGGACACAGCTATACCGAAAAAGGAAATATTGGATTTTTAATTGTTAAGGATAAACTCAAAAACAACTAGGTCAATTAAAAACTAGTTTTTGACTAATATAATACCTGACCAATATTATCAGAGTTAAAATACTTTATTTCGTAAAAGTCGTAGTTATATACTCGCCGCTAAAGAAAATATTATAACGAATGTCACTAGCAATCTTAATTTAAGATATTTAGGTATTTATCTAACGGAATCTTATTATATTTATGTATAACACCGCTTATACACTCATGTTTTTTCCTCCGTGAAAACTTATCCTTATCCTTTATGCCTATATGAATAAACGAAGCCTATTCTTTGGGATTAGTGACAAACGTTAACTTGGCCGAACGTTGGTTCAGTCTGTACGCGTCATATTAAGATACGCCAGCCGGCCGATTGCATTAATTTGCCTCCTATTACGAGGGTCAAACTGAAAGTTCTTAGAAAATCAAAAACTGATTATATTAGCCAGTTATTAGTTTTATTATATCTTTTCAAAATATTGTCCATTCACGTCAATACACCGCTGCATGCGATGGAACCACTGGGAAAAGCACTTTGCCCACTCGTCCTTAGGGGTCTCTTCAATGGCATCGCGATACGCAGCCACCGCTTCTTCAGCATTCATAAACCGCTTTCCTTTAAGTTTTTCTTTAATTTTTGGAAATAAATAAAAATCACAAGGCGCGAGGTCGGGGCTATACGGCGGGTGACCCAGTAATTCAACGTTTGATGTCGCCAAATAGTCGATCGTTCGCTTGGCGGTGTGCGACGAGGCGTTGTCGTGGTGAAGGAGGATCCTACTGCGAGGTCGTTTCTCTCGAACTTTTTCCAAGACAAGTGGCAAACAATTGGTAGTGTACCATTCTGCAGAAACTGTTTTTTGATCCTCTAACACAATTGTTGCAAAATGACCTATCCTTCCAAAGAACGAGGCCACCATTTTTTTTCCCGCACTTCGATCTCTCTTCACTTTAGTTGGCAACTCCTCGAAAGGAAACACCCACTGAGCAGATTGTCTTTTGGTTTTAGGATCATAACAGTAAATCCAGCTTTCGTCACCTGTTAGTATGTCGAACACAGCATTTGAGTCACCTCCGTTAAATCTTTCAATCATTTTACGACACCAATCCACACGATGGAGTTTTTGAGCCTCAGTCAAATTATGAGGTATCCACCGGGCGCAAAGCTTCCTGACCGCTAAATGTTCGTGGAGGATTTTGTGCACTTGACTCATACCGATGCCTAAGCTTGTCCGAATCTGTTGATAGGTCACTCTTTTGTCAGTCTCTATCATACGCCGCACAACACAGATGTTATCTTCAGTCGTCGCCGTAGAAGGCCGTCCCTCACGTAAATCATCAGTGAGATTAGTGCGACCACGTTTAAACTCATTAAACCAGTTGTAAACAGTCGCACGAGATGGGGCTTCATCGTGAAAGGCCAATCGTAGTCTATCATAACTTTCTTGTTGACTTAAATGACATCGAAAGTCATAAAAAATCATTGCACGAAAATTTTCTCGTGTTAAATTCATGATGACGTGACACAGACAATTTTCAATTTGCCGCCAAATCGTAAAACAAATGACAAATGAATGAAATATATACTCAGTAATATTGACAAAGAGTTATATTTTCAAATTTTAGAATTATTTTTTATTATATTGTTTATAAGTGGCCAGTTCTAAGAACTTTCAGTTTGACCCTCGTATTTACTATGAAATAGCGTACATATCTTTTTTCATACTCAAAAGAAAACCGAAGGAAGCACAGACTAAGAAAAAGATACTACGTGAAGGAAGTCTTATCTTAGATAGTAATTAAACAATCGATTTGTTTGGATACATAGTAATCTAGGAATCGAAAAAAATCCCTTTGTTTTCTATAAGCGATAAGGCGATGAGCCTTATATAGTCTATTTTTGCATGGTTGACATTTATCCAAGGCAAGACTTGTGATATGTCAGTTTAGCAACTGTTTCAATACGGTTAATTTTAAACGCCGCATAATTTTAAAATAGTATTTATATAGAATAAATTATAATTAAAGAGAAGATTTATGATGAATAAATGCATAGTGCGCAATTTGCGTAATTTTAGCCGACTTCTACCCATTCTCCTTTGCAAAGTTTGAAACTAAGATATCAATACAGATACGAAAAAGTACAAAATATGAGTTGTTTATTTAGTTTTGAAAATTTACTTTTGTACATGAAAGAAAACCGAAAGTGTTGTCAAGGAGAAATCAAGAAAGTACCGTAGTGACATCTAGTTTGATTTCAGGAACTTATGCTTTTTTTTAATACTTTTTTTTGGATAAAACTGTTGTAACAAAAACAGCTTAACCAATTGCTCTGGTAATCAATGTAGGTGACATAATTTTGTAACAATTTGGGTACCTGCGCCAGCATAGAATTATAATATCTGTGCTAATACGATAAAAAATTATGATTATTATTATTTCTTTTTAATAATAAATAATACTTGAGGCTGTTCGATTTACAAGCATTTTTCGTTAAGAATAAATAAATATCAGTTATATTATCTCACCTTTATGTTTAGTCACATGCTCCCTCAAGCCCTTGATGCTTCGAAGCTTTAATTGACAGATACGGCACTTGTAATGATAGTCTACTACCTGTAAACAATAATTCAGCTATCAGTACATAAATATTTCAATTATGTAAAATTATTTGAACAACCTTAAAATATGAGAATGCACGTAGATGCCAACAATTCAGAATGCCGAATCAAAAATTGTAAAAAAAAAATATTTTTTTATTAACCTTGTTACGTCATTGTCACGATTATTTTTGAAAACATTCATAATTATTATCAGTGAAAATGAATATATTATTTTATAGTCACTCGTAATTATTATATTAGTAAAGTATATACATGTTTCTTGTCTATAATAGGGATGATGACTGGGTAAAAAAAATGCAATTCTATTTAGTCCGTCAGTCAGATAATAGAAAAATATTAGATACGTATTTTTTTTACTTCAATTTAACAAGAAATAGCTTATAACAGGCATTAAAGTTGAGGAGTGGGGGCTCGCTACGTCACAGTTGAGTAGAAAACGTACTCTAACGTGACGTCATGCGAAATTTCAACTCAATGTAACCCGTAATATTATGATTACGAAAAAATTAAAAAAATACGTGTTTAATATTTTTTAACACTCTACCTGACGGACAAACAAACAAATATTAGTCATCATCCCTATTGGTTTAAAAATACGTTAAATATTTAAAATAAAAGAAGTTTGACTTTATATAAAAAATTACACTATAAATAAAGAATATAACCGTTCATTCGTGTCATCACTTCGACGTTTTAACTTAAAATACGGCTTCATACCTATAAGAGGTTAAGCAGTTACTGAAAATATGTTTCTATTAATTTTTTCTTTGCATTTCATTCATTTTGTCTTGCATTTTTAATTAATACTTTTTACTTATCATTATTTATTACTTATCACTTACCCCGGATAGTGCGAGTGAGATGGCACGCCTGTGAGCGCGTACGTCATTTGCGGAGTGCGCTCGCACATGGGTCAGCAAATTGTATACGCTTATCGTTATACGTTTACATATAGGACACTGCAACTTATCTGTAAATTAATAAAATTACATATTATTTCCAAATAAATTCCTTAATAAAGGAAAATATAATAATTAGAAAGTGAACATACATAATCGATTTCTTATATTTTATAAATATAGTTTGTATTGTGAATGTGTAAAATAATATTGGTTTTTGAAGGTAGCTAGCTATACTTTTAATTAAAAAGACAATCAACACCATAGTATTATGTAAACACGGAACCTGTAAAGAATCCGAAACATCAATAAAACTAAATACAAATGCGATGAAACTGTTTAAAAGTTATTTCATTTGTGAAGATACATAACTTTTATGGCAGTCTATTATTTTACAATGATATGTTGTAGTAACATTAATCAAAGTTTTTTTGTTAAATTTATGACTTAATTAAAATGTAATTGAAACAGTGACACCACTTTGCAATTTATACAAACATCTGGCAAATATTGATAAAATTATTAATAATGGTTGTTTAACCATGATCCCAGAGCCAGCAAACATTCTTTATTTTCTGATTGACAAAAAGTGCTGTAGTGTTAGTATGTACCTGTGCTCGTATCCATAATCGAGAGATGTAATTACTTGAGTAAATATCTTAACTTAAGCAAATAACCAATAGACGCGAAATTATGAAGTAACAGCCAGTTGCACAAACGTCCATTAACATGTCATTAGTTCAAATTGGCATTACCCATACAAATTTGACATTCATTAGAGATTAAAGGCGTTTAGGCATTAAACCTTAATGGATGTTTGTGCAACTGACCGTAAGACTTTTTAATAGCTAATAATATTCTTATATCATTCCAATTCTTATTTATTTGGTTTAAATTGTGATACGATTGTAAAACTACCTATCCACCTGCGGCTTACTTTACGTCGTTTTTCCTTTTTTACAACACTAAAGTATTATGTTATGTAGCTTAGTTTTTTTTGGCACTGGGAAATGCGTTACTGGGAAATACCCGCTCCCCCTTAGTGCTCTGCCCTGCGGACCCACCCCAGAATTGCCCTAGTCAAATAGCAGGGGCATACCCACTAAGACCCAGCGATGTACTACTGCATGGAGACGATGGACAGTCCGAAGACCACTTCCCGCGCCGTTCGCCACCATTTCCGTCTAACCCTTGCATGGCGGGTACCTCTACGGATTTGTGATATCTTTGAGACATTTGAAGCTTATAGCCATCCTCAATAAATTAACTATTCAACACAAAAATATTTTTTCAATTCGAATTATTACTTTCAGAGATTCAACAGCACATTTGCTTCAAGTTGAACTTCGACGTTCCTAAATGACGTCACAGGCACTTTTTTACTTAGACAGGTACTTTTTAATTATATTAACTTTCTATCAGTAAGGTAAATTGAGGGTTGATATTCTTTATGTAAAAATTAAAGATAATTTATTGAAGCGCTACCAACACCGAGATAATGAACACTGGACTAGTATCACAGACTGTTGAGAAACCAATTAGATCAACTATCAATAAAGACAAGACACCAAAACAATTGATAAAAAATACAGAACTATAGCATATCATAATAGTGACCTATACGGGCAGACGTTCGCGATATCGTTGCTAGCTTTACATAGAATAATGTTTGCCGGGAAGTGTGGTGCGATGAAGCAGAGAGAATGAAAACAGTAACAGGTAATAAAGGTAAGTAACAATATGTTAGAGAATATTGTTAAAAATTAGCGATGCGACGAATTTTCGTTTGGTGTTCGGCGTACTTGACATCTTTTTCACTATTTGTATTCGACCCAATTTGAAACTGAATATATTCGGTTCGAGTATTTATGCGCTCTTGGCTACCTGACACGGTATAGTACTAAAAGGCAAAACTTCTTATGTAGGATTTATGTTATATGTCAAAGAAATCCTATAAAGAATGTGTTCAACAAATCTAAAAAAATTAAGCAATGAAACTTTAAATCAACATTTGTTTTATTTATTTATTCATTTTGGGAAAATCATTTTTTAGAGCTGTTGATACCTGATTACGCGGCAAAACAATGAAATGGTAAACGCATCTTTATTGAAAATCAATCATCACCACTTCCATATACACCTGACGTAAAAACGTACTTAGTACTACTGGTCTTATTCTTATCTGTTTTTTCTAGAAACTATTTCTTGTAACTCTTTAGTTTCCTTGAATAAATAAGTAAAAGTATTGTAGGTAAATAAACTGCACTTACTTTTATCTGTTTTAGAGACGGAGCCTCTCCAAGATGTCTGGTAACACGATGCACACACCTTGCAACATGCCACTTCACGCAACACACGTCTTGTCTCACTATTGGATTCCGTGGACTTCTCACCATCTTGCATATTCTGTCTAATATTGATAACAAGCAATACATATCATTTTCTTTCTACAATAAACATTGAAATATTTCCATCGTCATTGATATTCTTAGGGTCGTGACACTCAAATAAAGTTAGTATCCATAGCGCGCCTGACTCAGTACTCCACACTATAAATTAATTACGCATCTAAAGTAATATTATAAAGAGGAAGGATTTTATTATATGTTTATTTGAATAGACTCTGAAACTACTGGACTGATTTTAAATAATCTTTCACCTGTGGGTGACATAGGCTACGGTATTGACATAGGCTACAATTTACACATGCTAAGATGCAGGAAACGTCTAGTAAAAATATAAAGTTAATAATAAATACTTTTCAAATTTGTAAACTGCAGACAGAGACTCTTGAGGTTTATATGCAACCAACACATCATTGTTTTTATATTCCTCCTTTGTCAATAACACCTCATCTTTATGATGGAACTTATATTGTTTTGCAGGATTCACTGTGAAAGGAGTCAAAATTTTCTTCTCTCTGTATTTTGGTAACATGGATTGGAATAATTCTGACTTCCTTATGCCCTCTTTGTTGATGACACAAGTTTTAGTCCAAACAGCAGTCTCTGAAGTACCTGTAGATATTATAGATAATAACTTACTATGATTGTTTATTAAAAAAATTTTTTTTTTGTAACTATAAACATGACATCATCGTGAAACTACACTTCAAAATGTATTCAAGATAAATCTCATTCCTAATTATTGTATGAATCCTTTATCTTAGACTATGATTTGACATTCGCTATTTTTTATATTTAATTTTTAGTCCTTTTTTTGTCATATAAATCAGGCAATTTTTGTGTTTTGACTTTAAGATTTTCACATCATCTTGACAATAAAATATGCTGATCTAAAAATGTAAAACTACCTTGTAACCATATTTTCACAATATTATTATTATTATTATTATAACATTTAATCTATGCAGTATTGAACTGTGAGTGCATTTTAATTTAAGACTTATTATAATATAATATACCTACCTGTCTGGTATAAATGCATTGCTTAGCTTATATTATGTTTTGGTGTCAGCATTGACCTAAAATATCCATTAGTTCAAAATAAATTAACTACCTATATTTAATCTGTAGTGTAAATATTAGTAGCAGTTTTTTCTATCTACTATTACAAATTAGGGAAAGGTATGTGCTATTTAATATACAAAATATTTAGTTATTCTTTCCTCTGAACAATAGTAAATTAAAATTGTAGTATTTACCAGAATCTTTATTGACCACCTTTTTGAGAACAGTAGTACGAGCTGATTTTTTTGTTTCACCTTTTTCTGGTGTAAATAAATTGTCACATTGTTTAAAATGTTCTATGCATGCTTTGTTCCAGTTTCTCAATCTATTGATATCACTTCCAATGGTCATTACAGCTCTAACTGGTAAACATAGAGGATCTTCGTGATCTGGCATTTTTATAGTCATTTTTTTACGGTTGAAAAACTGATTTACTGTACTTTGTAAGACAGGCTTCACATGCCGCTGGACAGGTCTCGCTGTTTGAGATGTAGATTTGTTAGTATATTTCCGCAAAGTTATTTTCCTTCTTTTGCTTGGAGACGGACTAACTGGTGGGCTTGGAGGCATTATATCTTCGGTTGGATCGTAATCAGAGTCATCGTCTTTCTGTGGTTTCTTCCTTTTTTTTCTTTCAGAATTAATACGTTCGACGAGATGTGGTTGTTGATTTCCATCATCATTAACGTTAACTTTTCTTTTTAGAGTCACCGATTCAGTAGTCGTAAAAGTTGTTTGAACACATTGCTGGACGATATCAGCATCTTCATCAAGATATTCTATTTCTCCATCCGAATCCATAGCTATGTACCTAGTCTGTGCTATGTACTAATATGATATGTACTAATTATGAAGAATATGTAGGATAGCGTTTGTTTTTGTTTTTTTTTAATAAAAATAGAAATAATAAGTCAGATTTAACAGTTCAAAGTTCTGACGGAAAACAGACAAACGTAACATTGTACGAAATCGACGGAGACAGTGGGGGGGGGGGAGGTGTCATTTGAAATCAACGCCATCTTTCATTCATTTCATTTAAGAATTACATGTAGAAATGAGTATGTATTTAAAAAGAAACATTAGTTACCGGAATCAAACTAGATGTCGCTATGGTACTTTCTTGATTTCTCCATGAGAACCCGTCCGGTTTTCGTACATGTATAAAAGTAAATTAATTTTCAAAACTCAATAAACAACTTATATTTTATTTCTACTTTTTCGTATTTGTATTGACATCTTAGTTTCAAACTTTGCAAATTTCAGTTTTTTAATATGTTATACACCATTTATTATAACATTAGAAAAAAGAAGATTCACAGAAGCAGCAGTGCTGAATATTTTATTTTCAAATTAGTTAATTAAAATTTAAAATAGTTTTGTTGAAACTTTGAATGTTAGGAAGTCTGAAGAACTGGGCAATTTTTCATTTTTTACGATACCTTGGGGTTGAGAATGAGAAGCTATTTAAAAAAAATTAAAGAAACTACTAAAAATGTATAAATAAAAATTAGTTCTTGAAATCATACTAGATGTCACTCGCGATGTTTGGATTTCTAGAGTAGGTTGTGTAGGAAGTCAATCTATTATTAACAATATTATTGTAAGAATCAAAAAGCACATACCCACCGTACGAATTAACTTAACACATGGCTCGACGTCCGCCGTCGACATGCAAGATCAGTAGCAATAGTATAATAACTGTACGTACTTTTGTCATTCTGAAATTCAAGTAATAACCTTTAAATTTCAAAATTACACAGACACGTACAGTTCCTTTAGAACAGACGTTTCTTGTTGATTGCTTAAGATTATTTAATTATGAATAAAAGGTTTAATAACTGATCACAATTTTTTAAAGTCTTGATTTTACAATTACACTTTGCACAAACGTCATTTTAGTCAGAAGTCGTGTTATTTTGCATGAATACCTAGTATATTTGATACATACAGATAATAAACGGATTTTTTACTATAATTATCGTTTTTATGACTTTTGTTACTGATTAATAAACCTTATTCATTCATTTACCATACATAATATAAAAATATTATTGAGACTTGTCTCAATAATATTTTTATATTATGTAGTTTTGTTGCTGTAAGTTCAACAAACAACTAATAACAATAAAACTAACTTACCTAGTTGTTATTGTTTTCAAAACTTTTGTTAAACATTATAATGAAAAATTACTAGACCTACTATGGCATAAGTATTTTATTTATAAAAACTATTTGGCGGTAATATCATTGTATACTGTAGCTAAATGCCACTTTTAATTATATCACAGCATTAATTCAATTGATTTCTATAAATTAAAAAAAAAAATCTGTGCTCACTTCCATTATGTTAGTTTCCATTTTCCTCTATACAAATAAAAAAGAAATTTATTCAAATATTACTTTGTATTAATCGAGTTGCGTTTGCATAACTCGAACTAATTCAATTTCAACTCGATATTAACCCGAGTTATCAGTTCCATAACAACACTGACAATTCTATTCTCTTTGGTTAAACGTCATGAATTGGCGTTTAGATCCAACAATTTGTGCTGCCATCTAGTGACAAAAAAATTTGTAGTTTATTTTTTAAATATTCCTCATTGTAAGATTTAAATGTCAATGAGGAAGTATTTAAAAATAAAAAGGAAGCACCAATAAAGCATCTTCACTAGATGGCGACTGTAGCAAATGTTGATTTTTACAGAAAACGAATGGACCAAAGATTTTGGTTCCTTTTAAGTAACGTATTAAAAAAATTAAAATTGCAAAGTTCGAAACTTAGATATCAATACAAATACGAAAAATTTCAAATAGAATACGAGTTGTTTATTGAGTTTTTAAAACTAATTTACATTTATACATGAAAGAAACCGGAGTCTAGTCACATCAGGTCAGGACATCTAGTTTAATTTCGGGAAATAATGTTTTTTTAATACTTCCTCATTCATGACTTCAATCCAAAGAGTATTGAATTGTCAGTGTTGTTATGAATTTGATAACCCGAATTAATATCGATTTCCAAGCCGTACCATAGCGACATCTAGTTTGATTTCGGGTACTATTGTTTTTTTAAATACTTCCACATTACTTATCACAGGGCTGTATGGTCTTAGTACCCTTTGACTTACCCCCCATATGGGAAAATTGGACCAAAAAAATAACTCTATGGTCTTGGCTGTATGGCTTAGTTCCTTCGTCTGTCCCATGGACGAATTATAATACTACTACTCTATGGTCTTCTGTGACGAATTAGAAGAATTTGTCAACATGTCGGACAAGTTAGTATTTTTACAATAATTTCATTTTTTTTGATAATTTACGATAAATTAATATAGTTAACGAAAGAAAACATAGTTGTCGTTTATTAGAAGTTATATTAATTGAAAAATACGCCTCATTACTTTTTTATTACTAAATTTGATTATTACGGCGTCACATGTGTTATTTGTCTAATTTCTTTGCAGTGAAGACTTATTAGGCGATGATTTAGGGGATCACAGCCTCGCAGATTACAATTTAGGCAATGAGGAAGAAGAACAGCTTTTGGCTGATGATTATGAAACCAGCTCTTCACAAAATGTTCCTACATCTATTGGCCCTAGTTATGGCAATGTAGATATGGTTTCTACTGACTATTCTAGCCATACTATTCAATATAATACTTCGGTGAGTTTCTATATTTATTTGGCATGTAAATTATCAGGGTCAGGTTCTCCCATTGAGGTCTCCTATATCAAATTATGTTTCATGTGTGTCACAAAAACTGTTTTATGAATTTATGATTTAAGTGATATTAAATCCAACTTTAAAAATAATATTCTACTAAATATTGATGAAAAATGTTTGTCCATTTTTTTTCATATAGCCTAATAAGTTATCTGTTTTGTAGATATCATACACATAATGAATAAATTTTTTCCAGTATAGTATGCACTAAATAGCTTTGTGGTTTGAAGTTAGTCATGATAAGCAACATTTAATGACGTTTTTATCTAAAAGTGGGTTATCAGGTGGGAGGTGACTGCCACAACCCACCTGCATCCCTATTCATACCTACAACATATATGCTTGTTGCCCATTGAAGACAATACTAATTTCAGAGCTGCAAAGTTACATGGCATGAATCGACTTATTCGTTTCATACGTAACATGTTTATAATATGTTGCCTTTATAAGCAAACAACACCTTACCAGCAGATTGCAGAGACAGAGTGTGTGGTCCCCAACATAACAGTGGAGGTTCCTAACACTCGACTTCCAGACCATTCTACTTATGCTCCATATGAACCTCCAGTATATGAACCTGAAAATGCTGTGGTGCCACCTGCCATTGTGAGTTTCTTATTATTTTTAGATAATCTTATTTATAAAAGAATTTAAACATTTAAAAGTTTCATGCCTTATCCCATCAATGATTATACTATTTATGGTCAACTCTCATTGCCTCATCACTTATCTGCAAGGGCTGATTTCTATATCTTATACTAATCTGGAAGTAAAATAAACTTGAAAGTAATACTTGCTTACTTTATGCTAGTCATGAAATTAGAAATAAGGCTATTGATTTTCATTTGCAATTTCACAAGGTCATTTGTAAGACACCAATCTCTGAAAATCAATGATGAAGTGGTCACTGAAACAGGGCAATTTTTTTATAAAAATAGACTAGCTCGGGTCAACTTCAAACGGTGGACTGCTATAATTATTTCAATTCCAAAATTTGACAAATCTCTTCTTGAGTTAGACTAACAAATATCACTTGTATACAAATAGATTGTAATGATGAAAAATAGTTTTCTTTGTAATGGATAAAATTTAAAAGAAATTAATTGTTTTGAAAAGTTCTTTTGAACCAATGTGAAGCTATATTATCAACAAGTAACATAATCTATATTTTATTCACTGTAAGGTGACATGACATTCACCGATCAATTTGTAAAATTTTAGGTATGTTGAGCAGAACTTATCATCTGTATTTTTACATTTACAGAAATGTGTGTGTGTTATATAAAGTAAACAATAATTTATTGTGCATAATGACATTAATGATATAAGTGGTAAAATTTAAACTAATTTGATGTTTTGTTCCAGCCTGCTGCTCCACTGGAATCACCACAGATAGTACCTACAGATGTGCCAGTACCTGTATCCAGTAAGTGAAAATTATATCATACATCTGTGCTATATTTCTCATTCCAACCCATTAGGCTAGTTGACATTTTTTTTTATTTTATAAATAAATAGTCCATTATTATCTGAGAAATATTGAAGTAACATCATGTCTGCAATTAATAGTTTTGGTGATATGGTGCTGTGTTTGTGGAATTGCTGCTAGTCAGCTGAAAACACTCCCATAAAAATTCAAGGCACTAAGTGCCGTCATATGGTGATATCGTTTAGGTATGGTATCGTAAAAACATATGGGTGTCCAGCAGTCTATATAATATCTTTGTTATTGCTGCATTTATGTCTATAGCTATTATAATGAAAGTTGGAATGTTTTATGTAAGTAATTTAATGCCATGTGTATTTTAGTATATTTTTCCTACTTTTTTAAGTTTTTTAAGTTTTCGAGACATAGTATTTTGCAAATTAATGTAATAAAATATATTTTGTTGAATATTATTAAGTTAAAATGGTTCATATATACTGTTATAAATGATAACAGAAACCTGCATTTTCCCTTGTAGGACACAAGCCTATTTTTGATGGGGTAAATGTAACCACCAAAACAAACTTTAGTTTATGAAACAAATAATTGCCTAATTATTTACTGTAATTAATTGCATGAATTAGGACAAAATATTCGAGTATGCACAAGTAGTCAATGAAACTTATTATATAAAGCCACATATACCACTTATTATTAAAACAAAGTAGTGTCGACTTACAATCCACTTCATTTAGCCTGTAGTTCTAACTACTCTGGTTAAGCTTATATTGAATTTGCTTTTAGATGGTGAGGGCAGTGCTTCCCGTGCAAGATTCCGGAACGAACGTACAGCGGGCGCTGCACATCGTGCACCACTCGTCAGAGACATACCTGATACACTAGGTAATATAAATTTGTATATTAGACACAGATAATATACCTTTTTTTTTAGTACCTGACTTCCCATCATTGTCGAGTCATCAGTATACTCACCGCCCACAGATAATGGAAATGTGCTTATTAGAAACTTTCACTTCACAGTCATTTGTATAAGTTCGTCCTTTATTGATGATCTACAATGCTTCAGTGACAGAGGTTTTCTCTACCACTATATTTAGAATATTAAGGATTTTTTTACTGATATTCAAGAAAGAAGATTAAATGGATATCAAAAACTATAGGCCAATTTCCATTTTATCATGTCCATCCAAGGTTTTCGTGGCGCTGCTGTATCCGTTTGTCAATCGACATCTTTAAGAATTAATTTATAGCAACTATCATGGATTTAGAAGTGGTTATTCTGTTCAGACCAACATGATAAAGAGAGAAGGGGATCAGATTGATGCCATGTACACCGATTTTAGTAGTACCTTTTACATAAACTCAAGGCCTGTGGTATCCACGACTCCCTTTTGGATTGGTTAAGATCGTACTTGGCTAATAGACCGCAGTCCGTGGTGGTCAGTGGCTATGAATCTGAAATCTACGATGCTAAATTGGGCTTACCACAGGGATCTCACCTCACTCCATTGTTGTTTTTGGTCTATGTTAATGACATAGTGTCTTGCATAAAGCATTGTGATTATTCTATTTTTGCAGAAGAGCTAGAAATATACAAAAACATTGATTCTCTCCAGTATGCAGATTTTATTCAGAAGGATTTGGATAAAGTAGAAGAATGATGCAAACGCAAAAGCATGTCTCTTAACGCAAAAAAGTGCTCTTTCATTCGATATACTAGGCAAAAAAGATTTCTTTCCTCTTTCTATTGCATTAACGTCGAAACGCTGCTGGAATTGAAAGAAATGCGGGATCTTGGGGTAGACATTGATAATAAGCTGAACTTCACAGCGCATATAAACTCAATTGCAAAAAAAGCACTAATGCTCGGTTTCATCAAAAGAAACTCAAGGTCTTTTCTTCCGTCCACAAACCTTTTGTTCAATTCTTTGGTTTGCTGTCAACTAGAATATGCCTTGCACAGTCATCAGAAATTGCATGATCTACAAATGTGTGATAAAATCGGTAAAGAATGTTAGTAGTATCGCCATGTCAGTGCAATACGAAACCTGAAACCTTTATCTAAATTGTTTTTTATACCCACGTCCCGGACTAATGTTTTAAGGCATTCGCCGTTGCCTCGCATTCGCCGTTGATTTCTGCTGCATACGTTAGTTATTTGCCTAATCTTGATATATTTTTCGACTCGCTGTTGAATTTTAAAGCTCGGGTTCGGGAACTTGTTTGTTCTATGGACTAGATTATGTTGGGTAAGGGATTGAGGTTGACATGTTCTCTGAAGCTCTGTGTTGCACGTATTTTGATCTGAATTTTTATTGGTAGCCGGAGAGTGCCTGAATCTTCGAATTAGTATTTCTATTAGTCGTGGATTAAATTTGTTAGTATAGTCATTATATAGGTATATTAATTTCAACAAACTCAGTTTTCCATGTTGATATCTGGCTGGCACAGGATACGTCCTTTAATGACCATTTAAATCTATTTATAGTTCATAAATGCTCATGCTGCATGGGCCAAATCAAAACTGTAAATTTTTTCATGATTAGTTTTTTTTTTTTTTTTTAATATTCGTGGTGACGTTCAGCGAATACGAACATTCGTTAATAGTTACTATTCGGTGAATAAGATTATTCGTATTAGTTGCATCTTTAATATGGAGATAGGTCAAAGTTATATAAGGGAGAGATTATTGACATAATGTTATAAATTTGACATAGTATGTGATTGATTGTTGTCAGATAAGGTGTTGATACCTCGCGGAGGAGGATTCGTGGGTCGAGGACGGTCGAGCTGGCGCAATCCACACTACCAGCCTCGATACAATCATCCTTATAGGCGAAACAACATGCCAAGGGTATGGATATATAATACACAAAGCTTTAACTAAATTTTTGGGCGCTCCAGGCACATAAAATAATATTATAGCGTATTACGCTGACACTAGGGTTGCTAAAGTTTATTAGAAGAAAATTAGAGTATATCTGATTTTAAATAAAGACTATGGACTTTAAAAAAAAAGTATCATTTATTTCATATCTTTAAAAAGGGATTTTTTTGTGTGACTGGCACTAGTAAAATAAATGCAGTATGAAAAAACAGTATTTTATCGTCCTCTATTAGTCTTCTAGATTATAAAGTGTGTAAAATTTTGGAATACAGTTGGGAACCCTAACTAACATCAAAACCATTAAAGCTATACTTACTACTAGATGTTAAATATGTCACTTTGTTTGAAATTACATAGTACCTATTTATCTAAACACGTATATGTATAAAATTGACATTATTTGAGATAAATCTTAAAATATATCTGTTTTTGGGCTTTGAGTAATTTTTAACCGCCTTTAAAATCCAAAAGGAGGAGGTTATATGTTTGACGGTGATGTATTTTTCTCCTTAGAAAGGAAATTGAGGGATCCACCTGACACACGGCGCTCTTAATTAAACCGCCTCTTTATTTATTTTTAACCTAGGATAGTGCTCGTTCGCTGGCTGTGCAAATCTCGTACTGCTTTATTTTATCTTTGCTTCTTTTATGACAGTTATTCCTAAATATACCCAAAACCTCATTCAGGTTATTTATTACATTTATGATTATAATTTGCAAAACCATGTATATATGTCTTTATTTTCATCATCAATAATTTACATATACATACACCACAACAAATTTCAGAACTTGACACGATAGCCGTCGGTTTAATTTTTATAAATGTTTTAAATGTTTCACACATTTATAACATTTTTTCCAATAGTAATATATATCAGTATTTACTTAAGCGTTAAATGTAAGTTTATATAGAATTTTGGCATTCTTCTTTTGGACTGGCAAATGCTTAAATTAGATATATTTAGTAATATTCTAATTAGAATACTCATCTGGGTATGATAGCTGACAATAATTCCTTACATTTAATTAGCTACAATAATTTATTATTAAATTCCAATAGGGTAACTTCAACCAGCGGCAGACGTTTCCTCCACCGCAAATGCGACCTAGTCCCCCGCACATTCGACCAGAGCTACATCCAGAGATACGGCAAAATATTCGTCCCGAATTCAGGCCGGATATGCGTCCTGAAATACGGCCCGTTATCCGACCAGAAATCAGATCCGAACTTCATCCAGATATTAGGCCTGATATGAGACTAGATATTCGACCCGATATGCGACCAGAAATGCGACCGGATATACGACCTGATATTATTAGACCAGACATGCGAATGGATATGCGACCTGATGTTCGTCCGGATATGCGACCAGATATGCATTCCGAAGTCCAACTGCACCCGGAAATGCGTCCGGATATTCGACCGGACCGCCCAGATATTCGTCTAGAGCCGATGCAGCAGATGCCTCCAAGAATGGGTCCAGAGATTTCTCCAGAACGACCGATGCTATCAGAAATGCAGTTTCGACCAGAGAGCCGATTCGGACCTACGGGACCAAGGCCAAACTTCAGGCCGAATATTGACGAAAGACCATTCGGACCTCGTCCTCCGTATCACTACCCTCGAGCTTCAGCTCCTGGATTTGAACATCGAGCTTTCGGTCCTCCTATAAGAGAGATAGTCCCGAATGATGTCAGCCATATGCCTCAAGTAACTATAAGGCAGCAATTACCGATGTCAAAAATGGAGAAATTCGGTCCCGGGCCGAAACCCAGGGAACAGGAGGTGATAATGTTACCAGTTCAGCTGCCCCCAAATCTGCCGCCTGGAGGATTAGCCGGCAAGAAAGTGTTGATCAATCCACATTTTAAAGGAAACTTCCAGCCACCTGTCGAAGGTTAGTGTTTCTTGAATATTTTTTTATTTGTAGCGGTTCAAGTAGATATAGCATCAGTAACATCAAACACTTTGTGAATACGGATATGACATTTTTCGATTAACAAAATATAGTCAGGTTGTCTTGACACTTTGTCTAAAATACAATTATTATTCGAGTCATTAAAATGAGATTTATAACTATTACTTAAGCATTCAGATCCTTATGTAGTTCAGAAATGGGTAGTACTATACATTTTAGTATCAGATGTAAATTTTATTTCACAAACTGATTCTTTACAATTTAGTAGTAAGTATTAATAGCTTTTAAATCCATTTCATTGATTGCACTTGTTATATGATGAGAAAGTTTATAGTATATTCGAAAGAGATCCAAAATATAAACAACATCTGAAAAGAATTATACAAGAATGAGGCAATATTAAGGTTAAATCAAAATATAACTTAAAATTTGGCAATAATAATTTTTACACAGTATAAACACAAAAATACATAAATATTGTCTCTCAGGGTTGCCAACGTACATACCTACAAGGATACAAAAAAGCCCGCCTCTCAGCCCTACTCTGGAAAACAAATTCGGTAACTATACACATGTATAGTTAGTAGTTTAGTGTGTGTTTGCTTCATAATTATTAAAGAGACAGCCATTGAGTCTATGCATTGTTTAATTTTCATTGTTATATTTGTCGTTAACTTGTTGTGTTAACACAAAATTTTTTATTGATAGAATTATTAATCAATAAAATCTTTCACATATGTTAAAGTGAGACAATGATATAGATAATGGGTTGCTATCCCCTTTTCATAAAATAATGCCTTAGTTTATATCTAACTGCACACTCTGCAATGCTTGAATGGCCCCATGCACGTTTATAAATATGTATATTTTGATATAGAGTGCTATTATGTATTCCTTTCTACTATTGAAAATACTGTTACATTGTTTTATGTTTGATTGTACAAGAATATGGGTAGAATAGTTGCAATTACTTGTTAACTCTATTTTATTGTTATTAATTTTCTTCTTGTTTGTATAAGATTTGAGCCTGTAAGATCTAATTCAGTTCTATAAACTGGAAAGATAAATGGATTCATTATCAGCTTTAATATGATTAATAGTTTAAAATAAATTGAAAATTAATATTAACGTATTTGAAATGGAAAAAACTTTAAATAAACTTGCAAAGTTTAGCTTCTCTGCAAAAAAATAAAGTATATTCAATGTCAAGTTACAACTTAAAATTATGTTTTATTAATTAATACCAAGAAGAAAACAAAATATTTGAAAGAAAAGATAAATATTTTATTGGCACCTTTAGAAGAATTAGTTCCTCAAACAAGTCACCTGTTTCATAATAATTAAAGTAAATTAAATCTCTCAGGGCCTGTGAAAGATATTGATGATGCAGCAGAGAGGTTTATAGCAGAACAAAGAAACGCTCTCGCCAGAGCTGCCAACAGAAAGATACCACCACAGAGGTAAGTCTAATAACTGTCCGTTTGTCACAGCCAATTTCGGGATAATAAATTTCTGGTCACCCATCCTATGGCTGGCCAATGCGAAAGTTGCTTAACAACCGTATTGCAGATCGAACGCACTAACGACTGCCATTGAGCTCCTAATATGGAGAAGCTTGACAATAACCTAAAAAATCTATTGGTTGACCTAATGATTGATTTATGTTTATCATCTTTTATTTAGGTACATAGAGAACACTACTATAGAGATAGAAAATGACCTGATGGGGAGTCGAAGGTCAGACAGTGACTTGGAATTGCTGCGGCGACAAGAAGAGTTCATACATGCCAATCGAGCTGGACTTAGGAGAAGGTGACTTATATAGACTAATCTATACAAATTTTTTGAAAGTAAAATTTACTTACCGTTTGTTTATAACTTTTTATTAATATTTATGTTATTAATATTACAGATATAATACTAATGTAATATATCTCTACTAATATTATACAGAGGGAAAGTTTCTAACTTAGTTTTTTTTTGTAGGGGAATATTCGGAAATACTGATCCAATCATGAAAATTCTTTCACCTTCGTGAAGCTACATCATACGCGGGTGAAATAGGCTTTAATTTACACAAGCGAAGTAGCGGGAAAACAGATAGTAAAGTAATAAACAGACTTCAAAAATAATCCGAAGGTTGACAATACGTATTTCATAATTTGTTTTAAATCAGCTACAGAGTTAAAATAAAATCCATATTTTTTAGCATTTATTTTTTGTTATACGAAAAGTGCGCAGATTTGATTTGTGACGTCATTGTTTAAAATGGGCATGTTCATTCACTCTGAAAAAACTGATCTAATCAATTACACATTCATCTTTCACACTGTCTATCCATCTTTTTGACCTTCCTATCCTTATATTTCCGTACGCACTTAAACCAAAATCAAAGCATCCACGTCCGGATATTCAAAACGGACTTTGCAGAGCATGAGATAAACATGTCAAATGTTCCATTTTTGGTAATGAAGTTTTTAAGATACGTCCTGCTGATAACATATACGACACACCGTCTATACATAAAAATAGAACGTTGCCAACTTCATTATCATATTAGTCACCCCACAAGCTCTTCAAACAATTACTTAGAAATTCTGATACAGTGCGTCCATTAACCACTTCTAATGTTTTACATGCTATTAAATAATGTTTTTGTGGTATCCAAGTTTAAGGATTTCACCGAAAAAAATCGGTTGTTTCATCTAATGAAATCCAAAGCTTTCCATTACATATTTTTGCGTTGAAAGATGTCATGGAGCCGTTATACGAGTTATCTAAATATTTTTTTCTGAGGCTAGTCTCACTTGGTTGAGGGGGACAATTTAAATGATCGTCGTCACAACTTTATTTGTTCATACAATCATGATGTGTAAATAATTTATACATCAAATTATAATCTAAATATATATATAACAATTTTTTTATTTTTATTATAATACTTTGAAACTTTACATCACCATTAAAAATGAATTCACATGCCTATTGTCTATATAGTCATTTTGAACAATGACGTCATTGTTTTGAGTGTAGTTTGTGGTCACGTGACGCAGATTGGAGAATTTTTAATAAGACAATTATTTATAGTATTGTTTTTGTGATTTTGTCAATGGAATTTCTTAACTAACTAAACTTCTTAAGTATATATATATATAAATTTGGATACGTTGTCATACAGAATGCGTTCTCCATCGCCGGCGCGTCGTTCTGCCTCACCACGAAGATCACCCGACAGGCGACATCGCCCCGAAAGGGCAGACAGACCCGACAGACTCGATAGACCCGAAAGACCACACGACGAGGTATGACCCACAACTTTTTTATTTATTTTTTACTTTATTGTATACAAAGTTTCTCTGATAACAAATATTATTAGGAACTTCTATACAAAAGAACAAAATACAATAATAGCAGGTACAAAATACCTATAATACCTACTTGCGATGCTACAATTATTGTGAATTAAAAACTAAAGTTTTTTTTTTTTTCTTCTTGTATATCTGCAACTTAGCGATCTGTGTAGACACAATAAGCCAATCAGTTGGTGGAAAATTTCGGATTATGGCAATACTAGCACAAAGAACTCCTTATATTCGTTCCTTAATCAAATCTCGCAGTTAGAGTAGGGACATCATGCCGCTTCAATCTGTTGTGTGACACACTTCCTGTACCATGTAGTTTAGAAGCCAGCTCATTGACGTGAGTTGATATTCGAGTTTGGTAGGTTGTAGTATGTTTTGAAATCTCCTGTTTGACTGTATTGATTTTCAGATCCTCATGAATAAATTTGTTGCTCACATAATATGGTATGTTTAACATGGCTCTCAGTGTTTTGCTCTGGAATCTTTCAAGAATTTCGATATTGCTGTTACTAGCAGTCCCCCACAGTTGAATACCATATGTCCATATGGGTTTCAGTATAGTCTTATATATTGCAATCTTGCTTTCGTTTGACAGATGTGATTTCCGACCTATTAGCCAATACATCGATCTTACTTTTGTGTCTAGTTGTTTACGCTTAGTCCATATATGCTTTCTCCAAGTCAGCCTTCGATCCAGATGCATTCCGAGATATTTGGCATCTTCAGCTTGTGGAATATCCTCGTTGTAAAGTTTTATAGGAGGGCAAGTCGGTTTTCTGAGTGTAAAAGTGACATGGGCAGATTTGCTTTGGTTTGCTTTAATGCGCCATTTGTTTAGCCATTCTTCAATCTTGGAGACGTGAGCTTGTAGTTTAGCTGATGCTATTTCTGGATTATCATGGGCAGAGAGCACGGCTGTGTCATCGGCGTATGTGGCAGTTATGGTGTCGTCTTGCGTAGGCAAGTCTGCAGTATACAAGAGGTACAGTAAGGGGCCCAAAATACTCCCTTGTGGTACTCCTGAAAGAATCTCTTTCAATGAAGAAGTCTCATTTTTGAATTTTACTTCAAAACATCTTTTGTTGAGATACGATTTCAATATTGGGAAGAATGAATGAGGAAGCAGCTGTTTTATTTTGAACAGGAGTCCTTTGTGCCACACTCTATCGAAGGCCTGACTAATGTCTAGGAACACGGCAGAACAGAATTGTTTATATTCTAGGGAGCGACTTATAGTATCCGTGATGCGGTGAATTTGTTCAATGGTTCCGTGCTTTTTTCTGAAGCCAAATTGGTGAAGTGGCACCACTTCCGGTAAGAAGGAGCACATCCTGTTCAGCAGTATTTTTTCCAGAAGTTTCCCCATTACAGAGAGAAGACTTATTGGTCTGTAAGAACTAGCTTCATGAAGTGGCTTGCCTGGTTTGGCTATCATTATGATCTGTGCTATTTTCCACTGTGCGGAAAGATGTTCAGCCTAATGCAGGCGTTAAAAATTGCTGTGATGTACATCAAGCCCTTTTTGGGAAGTTGCTTTAGTAATTGGGCATCAATTAAGTCATATCCAGGTGCTTTGCCATCCTGCAGTTTTGATATTTCTCTATGTACTTCAGTGGGGCTAGCACTTTTATTCGGCATGCACATTTGCAGTGGTGAGAGTAGGTATTCGCTAACTTCTTTGTCATGCTCGGAGTCATTACTAGGAAATGGTTGGAATACAGATTTAAGATGCTTAGCGAACACTTGGGCCTTTGCAAGGTCCGTTCTTGCCCACTTACCCTCAGTGGTTTTTATAGGGGGTACATGCGCTATGGGTCTTTTGAACTTCTTTGTTACCTTCCACAAAGAGTATTTAGTGTCCACGTATGGAGTTAGGTTGGCTAGTTTATCTTGCAGTCGGTCATTGTTTATTTGAAGGATCATGGTTTTTAGTTCTTTTGATGCCTTGTTGAAAGCTTTTTTTGTCCTGTGGATATCTTGTGGAATGCCAGATTTTCCACAGCTGCCTTTTTTCTTGTACTTTAAGCTTTATTCTTTTACAAAAGAAAGAGTTATTACTTATTTTCGGTCTCACAGGGGGTGTTGAGTCTATGACGGCTTGGTGGATAAGCTTCACAAATGACTCAATAGAAGATTCGACGATGTTCGCATCATTTAGTGGCAAGAGTAGATTTATGTTTTCTGCTATTTTGGCTCTGTAGTTGTCCCAGTTAGTTCTACTATTATAAAGTCTCTGAGGTCCCTCAACCTGAACAGCCCTACAATGGACATTGAGTATAACAGGTGTATGATCCGATGAAAGGTCAATACATTCTTCAATGCTTATTTGGGTTAGTGGTATATTTTTAATCATAAAGAAATCCAGCAGGTCTGGAACCTTTTTTGGATCTGCAGGCCAGTATGTAAGTTTTCCGTGTGAAGCGCTGTGAAGGTTAAGATTATTCATAGCTGTGTATAGTTGTCGACCACGTGGTGTAGTTAGCCTAGAGCCCCAGAATACATGTTTTGCGTTCCAATCTCCCCCGCAAATGTATCTGTTACCCAATGTTCTGAAATAAGCTATAAAATCGTCTGAGGTAATAAGGTGTTTTGGTGGGCAATATATTGCTGAAAATGTTGTCTCTGTTTTGTTATCTTGGATTCTGATTGAGGTAGCCTGTATCTTTTCAGTTTGGTATTCTTCGAGAGGATAGTGTTTGATATTTTCTTTAATAATAATTGCAGTTCCACCATGTGAGGTACCAGAGGGGTGGTTTGTTGTGTACACTTTATAGTTAAAAAAAAATATAGTGAATAAAAACTGATATCATAATGCTGCATAAGTAGTTGCTCTTTATATTTATACCTGCAAGCAAAGAATTATATTATTAATTAGTATGAAAACCTATCTATATCTTCACACAGTAACCATGGTGGGGTAGTCAGAGATGCCGAACGTCACAAATAGTATAAAAATATTTACATTATTTTGAGTATTAAGCTTTGAGAGCGAACTTCAGTTACCAAAATTTTATTTATTAACCTCATAGATAACTTAAATGTTAAATTACAAGATTTATTCATATTAACATATACATTTTATGTTATTGTCCTAAGAACCTGTCTAGATCCACGAGTTTCTTTATTCCCACTGATACAATGTTATACATCGATTGTTACTTAGGATTCATGTAATAAATAGATAAAATGATTGCAACTTTGAACTTTAAGACGAAGGATTAAGACACAGTCACTCGCCCATTTTGGACGAGGTCTAAACTATATTTATATCCATGTTGCCAATCATTGATAGATATTGGCAACATGGATATAAATAGTTTAGACCTGTTTGTATCTTTTTTACACCAAATGTTAATAAATAATCAATGTCAACAGGACAGTGAATATAGACGTCGTCTCCGTGAACAAGAAACAATGAGGGAGAGAGTTCTTAGAGCGAAGGAGGTTCGTCGCAGGAAGAACGCGGTCGCACTACAGAAACAATTAGACGAAAGGTAATATCTTTAACATGTACATATAAGTATAGTTATATATTATCTAGTGCGTTTATTTATAAACTTAACCTTCTTGACTGGAGACCTAAAGTATAAATATTTCAAACGGAAGTGTTAATAATTAAATAGGATTAATGAAAATTTGTGATTTGCTCGTGACTTGATAAATTCTGTGAACTGAGGGAAGTTATGAAACATTGTGGTAGGAAATTGGGTGATTTGTGAATTTTAAGTAGATATGCTTATGAATTATGAATAAACTTAAAAATGTAATTGGAGTGGAAAAGGAAATTATAATAGTAAAATTAACACATATATGTATTTCATATCGCAGAGAACGTGAACGTCAAGATAAGGCGAAAGACCTATCTAAACCCGAAGAAAACAAAGATAAACAACCAGACAATCCGACCAGTACTGAAGACACAAAACCTGATACTACGAGGAAATCACCAGAGAAGGAGATCAAAGTGGAGAAAGTGACAAAAGTGGAGAAGATCGTCAAAGAAGAAAAAGTAGAAAAGATTAGAGATAGATCTCCAGTTAAAGAAGAAAAAGTGGAAGTTAACTCTACTTGTGGTGAGTGAACATGCAAATGAGTATTCCAAAAAATATGGTTACGTATAGTTTCTAAATACAAAAATTACAGATTTTTTATTCAAATTGTATACCTATTTTGGTAATAATTTGGAAATAAAATGTCAAAACATATTTTTTTTATTATTTTGTGTGATCAGTAATAAATATACATTATTTCGTTTAAAATTAATATATTTTTAATGTTGTAAAATACCCTATTCCGAATAGAAGTGCCAATTAAAAACAAAATGAGAAAAATCTATTTTCATTTAACATTGTTAACCTGTTTTTGAAGTAAGCAATAATGAGTAATATAATCCATTTATAAGGTAAGGTTAATATGGAACTTTCAAAGTTAGCGCAATATAAATATTTATTTATAAATGACAGAGGGTCTAACTCCACCGCGGTCGCAAGCCCTCACTCCGCCGCTGCCTCAACACGACTCCGACGACGATCTAGATCTTATCCTCGGAGATATAGACGGCATCCTCTCCGACGATGATACTACCCCACCAGTCAGGTAACACTTACTAATATGTACAATAAACAATTGGCTATTTGACTCTTTTGGGAAAAGCATAAAACTTTCATTTTAATAAAGAACAATATGCTTTTTTTTTTATTAATTTAAATTGTCCCTCGAAAACAATCAGTCACGTGATATTACGAGCCGTTGCGTCACATTTCAATATACATGAATACTGGTTGCTCTCGCAACAAAGACGTTGACGTTTAGTTTATTGAAAAATGACGTCGCATTTCACACGTTTCCGTTCTTGTAATCCATAGACAAAAATCACAAGTTATTTTGCATAAACGTACATTATATTAGTTATAGTTTAGTGTTCCATAATGTAGATAGAATTTATTGTAATAATCCAACTACTTCTGCAATTCCAAAGTAAATTCCAGTTTGCTTTTTCTAGCTGCTGAAATTTGTATTTGAGCAATATAAGCGATGTTGTATAATATTTATTGTAATGCGTAGATCGGTTCCCCCTGCCACTACTAGTACTACTACGGATCTTCGTAGCAAGTTGCCCGCTAAGAACAATCCCAGACCACCCAGACAGAAGATAGTCTTCCATGACACTAAAGGTAAAAAATAAGTAATATATAGTCTAAGATATTTAAGATAGTAGATTGTTATTTCGATTCCTTGCATCACTCTCTTTTAAATGGTGTGGGGTTCATTAAAAAATATATGACTGCAATTTATCAACAAAAAGTAATTAAAAAAAGTTTATATAAAATAATTGCGGCTAAATTGTGCCAAGCAATCATTAAAAATAAGTTTCATCAAAAACAGATAACTGCAGATTTAAGCAGCGAGATCTAGTACCAATAAGGCAGTAACTTGTAATTTAAAATTTTATATCCTATTTTATAACCTATCGATCAAATATAGCATTCATGATCTGATTAGATGTGTTTGTTTATGGAAATATTGTGGTTTAATAGGATGTAATTTTATATTCAGAACTACAATACTAGAATAGTACCTGTTAAATTATTATAATAAATAAATGATTTTATAAATATTGTTGCAAGTATTTTGAGAAATCATTACTCAATACCTCTCAGTTTATCATGTTATAATAATATAAGTGAGAAATGTATCTCAGCGGTCGAAAAATTTCACATATCATTCATTATATCTCTTACGTCCCCACTGCAAGGGTCTAGGACTTGCTTGTATAGATGGTTCAGGAGGATAGGCCATGACCCTCCACGTTGGTCCAATACGGATAGCAAATGCAACCGGGAACAACGGCTTAACGTGTCTTCCGAAGCACGGGGCAGTAATTTTTTGACCACCCATCCCGTGTCCGACCCTAACGAAAGTTGCTTAACAACGACAATCGCGGGCTGCGCGCTTATCCACTGCGCCATCAACCTACTCTTAAAATTTCACATTCACCTCAGAGACGCACTGAGATGAAATACATCCGTCGCCGGATAAAAATAATGAAATGCCGTATTATTTTTATGTTGATATTTCTAGCTGATATAAGTTTTATGTAGCGACCGTAACATTTAAAATAATTTTAGAAAAAACACCACCCCGACGTGCCGTCGTGACGAGTTCCACTAAAGCTGAAAACTCGGAGAACAATGAAAAGAAAAATTCTAAGGTAATAATAATTACTCATTTTATTAATGTAGAACCATCGCACTGTTGAATAACAATAGGGACGGTGCCTGGTTAAAAAAAAAAGTTTGTCAGTCAGATAATAGAAAAATATTAGATACGTATTTTTTTGCTTCAATTTAACAATAAATGGCTTAGATAATAAGCATTAAAGTTGCGGGCTCCCTACGACTGTCTCGACAATTACGTAGAAAATGTACAAGTTTCAACTCAATTTATCGCCTTAACCCGGGTGTAGACAGTAAACAAAAATACATATATTTTTTTTCTGGTAGTATTTAATATACTATTACCGAAAATAGCAATTAAAGGAAGATCCTTAAAAATATTCACGCGGCATTGTAATTCATTTTTATTAATGCATGCATTTAATATTAAAATCAAATTAAATGCAGGCCCTGATATAAACTGATTACCAGTGGTCGACCTCTGCTGATTACTATTCTAAACTAAATTTTTAAATGTTCCTCATAGAAATATAAATTTACCATTAGTCACTGTTAAAAAAACTCGATAGTGCTTTATCTGTATAATTGTTTATTTATTTTTTTCTATTATCTCAAATTACGAGTATTTGAAAATAACAAAGTGATTAGTAAATATTTTTTTTTATTTCAGGCAAAACCCAAAGCCGACTCAAACTCAAATAAGTCGAGACCGCGTATTATATTCGATAACAAAGAGGTAAGAAACATTTATATTTATCATAATCCGAAGTTAATATTTTTCTGCCATTTTTTCAGTCTATATCAGTTGGGTATTTTCATTACAACTATATATTTAGATAATCTATTTAGAATAAAATTTAAATTTAATCTTTCTAATGAATAAATTGCTTTATTTTATGGAATTATTAAGAGATTAATTATCTTGTCAGGTTATATCAGTTGTCGGTTGTTAAGCCTTTAGACATAAAATTGAATTTCAGCTTCTAGAAATATATAAGACTAGTTTTTACTTGTGATTTTGAACGCGTATATTCTGATATTTTGGGCATAGCGGCTTAGTTTTACTTCAAACTATGTTTCCATATCATTAGATAGACAAAGTTATGGTATTTACAATTATTTGTTATGTTTCCACGTCATCAAATAGACAAAGTAATGGTATTTACAATGATCATATTGCTTAATTTTACTGCTCTATGCACGCTCTGGATCGAAGGGCCATAAATTTAATAAGTTTTAAAAATCGATTGCAGTAGAATCTCGATTACCCGGACTCATTCTCTTGGCTCAATTGTTAACATAAAAATGTTTTAACGGCTCAACGAGACATGTTACGACAAGTTTTTTCCCGTCTCCGATCATGTACAGGTTGCATTTTATTGTGGTATTGTGTTTATTTTGTTATTGTTCCATTTTCTTCGATAGCGTTCAAGTGATAGGATAGATTGCATTTTACTTTCACATGCAACATCTTTAAAAAAAAAAACAGATTTTTGTTGAAAATTTAAAATCTCCAAGTGAAAAATAGTAGTGAGTAATCTGAAGTGTGTAAGGGGGTTGACCGCAATTGAAAGATTTAATTCATTACGTCAGAGATCAGGAACAAATAATTTCCAATCAAAATTTTAACTGAAGTATGTAAATATTATGTATTTCATTATCGTTATAGCTCGTTTCTTTTATATACCGTATTATCTTTATAACGTATATCATAATAAAATTTAAATATTGTTTGATTTTACTTTGAAATCGTTATCCGAATTTTGGATTATACGGAATACCCCTAGTTTTAATTGATCCGGATAGTCGGAATTGTACTGTATACTTCAGAATGCTATTTCTTTAAGTATTTATCTCATGGAATAGTTCAAAAGAATTTTTTAAGTCCGACTCGTAGCTGCAGATTTTTGGGCGTTCAAACAAACATATCCCAGTTTATTAGCTAATATAGATTATAGACGGATAAGCAGTTGAAATAAAATATTGATTATATATATTAAACTTAGTGACACGTGCAAGAGTGCATTTAGATTAATATATCAACGTTTTGATACAAGATTTGGGGATTAAAATATAGTTAATGATTGTTTGATTTAATTATAAATAGATATTATTACCAAGGACATAAACAAACATTGCATTAAATAAATCAATTGTCATTATTCACTGCTGTATAAATTATTTCGCTAAAATATAAAACCTTTATCAGCCTTTCGTAAGCTATAGTTAGGTATATGTATGCTTTCTTATTCACGCTTCTCTTTATTTATTATATTCTGAGCTAGTGCATCCAGTTTTTCCTGTACAGACTGTACAGGAAATATCATCTGCCGATCTTGTTGGTTGTCGACCGATACTTCATTTTTCTGTCCTTGGTCCATTGTAGACAAATTCATCTCTGATATTGTGAACGTAAATTCTCCTATAGAAAGCGGAAAACGATGGCGACGACAAGAGAACGTTCGCCAACCGCCGCGTTATCCTACAACGTACCACAACAGCTAAAGACAAAACCGCGAACGTACGCGACGACGCAGAGTCAATGCGTCCCGTCGCGGGTATGTTCAGTCGCGCCGTACGCACCGCTATAAACGACTGCGGGCGACGGTCGCCGGAGATTGTGACGCATTCCGCGCACGTGACGCATTCCACGCACGTGACGCAAGTTACACACGCCACTCGCTCGGCGACAGTGTCGCAGTTGCCGCCGGGAATGACGCACGCTCGTCTTCGAGCACTCGCCGGTACACAGCTGCAGGTAACATACTAGTGCCCTACACGAGACCTTCCGATACTGACGTCATATAATTTGTATTAATAGTTTTCCGCAAACATGGTGTTGTATTATTATACATATAAACCTTACTAGCTTATCTGTTGTTGAAATTGCATTGAGATTTCAGTGTACATACAGCGGGGACCGATTTTGTTTTAGGCTATGTATAGATGAAAAAAAAAACTATGATCCCGTTTGTAACACATTTACATGAAGTTGTTTTGTTAGAAAGTTTGTTTCTTTTTATACTGAGTATCTTATAGGACATCATTAGATTTAAATACAGTCAAGTTTAACTAAATACAACTATTATATGTGTATGTTTGAAAATTCATCATCCTTACAAATCGTGCTGTTCTATAAGAATGTTATGAAAACCTTTTGTTTGAGTATTTGTAAAATATCTAAAGAAAATATTACAAATATCATTCATATAATAAGTTAAAATCAAAAAATTTATTTAGTTTTCAAAATTTCTCGCGAAAACGCCACTTCTGTCATGGCGTCGCTATGGCATCACAGCCCTATGAAACTAACATTGTTCTATGTATAAGGTTAAATTCTATAAGTATTGATATGATTAAGGCGTCGCGTCACGTGACTACGAGCATAAAATATTTGTTTTTTCATAATTAATTTATGCAATATTATAAATATAATTATAAATAATAAAATAAATTTACGCAATATTATAAAAAAAAAATAGTAGCTCGCTGGCGTAGTGGATAAGCGCCGCGGCTCGCGATCGTTTTCGTTAAGCAACTTGTGCACAGGGTCGGTCACGGGATGGGAGGGTGACCAAAAAATTACTATCTCGAGCTACACCGAGTATCGGAAGGCACGTTAAGCCGTTGGTCCTGGCTGCATTTTGCAGTCGTTACTACCCTTCAATCCGCATTGGGCCAGCGTGGAGGGTCATGGCCCATCCTCGTTAACCATCCATAAGGAAGGCCTGAGCCCCTGCAATGGGGACGTAAAAGGGCTGATGATGAAGATCAATGGTAATAGTATGTTAAACACTACCAAAAAAGAAGAATCTTATTTTCGATAACTCGTCTACACCCGTATTGAGGAATATAGTACTTTCACAAATACGAAGAGATTATCAACTACTAATCTAACTATTGTACCTACGTTAATAACAAAATCGCTAAAGGAAAAGTACAAGAATATTGTTCCTTGAAGTCTATTTCTAAATCGTTCCATTATAAGTTTGAACAAAGGTAAAATTATATTTCTACCCCAAATCAAAATCGCATTGACATTCATTGCAAATAGTTAATCGTGTATATATTGTAGAAATACCAAATAAAGTATTATTACCTGTCTTCCTCTGCATTTGGAACTTATTATCATTGAATCCCTAGTGATTTTATCAAAGTCCAAATATTTAACTACATATATATTACACACCAATTCCCTTTATAAGCTGAGGTATAAGCCACACTCCTTTCCTTACACACATTTTTGCTTCTTTTTCGTTCATATATCTTTCCATTGGTATTATTTTTGACATCACCTTCTGACAAAACATGATTAATTTGATCGTCAAGTGTGTATTTTGACCTCCCGTGCTTCCTACGTCCTTCCGCTTTCGCGTTGTATATCAGATTCTTTCTCTTTCAATCACAGTATTAGCTACAGAAATACGTATATTCATTTTCATGTTTGTATGTAAATTTTCGATTTATTCATTAACTTCCAGAGAACTGTATTAGATAACAAATGTACAAAAAGCTGTAATATACAAATTAAGGATTATTAATTTACTGAAAATATGTCTGGTAATGATTTATTAAACTATCAATCTATACGTTCAGTATCGGATGTGTCATTGTATATGTTATGTAGTTTTAATGACATAAATGCTGTGATTTTTTTACCTGTGGTATATTTATTTATATATGTGTATTATTATAATGTTCTACATTATTGTTATATTAAATGTTTATTTTTGCAATGAATTTAATTCTTATATATTTCACTAAGTGATATTGTTTCATTATATGAAATAAGTGTAAAACACTGTGTGTCATGTCTATGATAGAAATTGGTAGTGCAATTAAGAGCCTATGTTCCTATATGTTGTTTATAATATACAATTGTATAGGTGCTCCTTTTGGATTACAGGGGATTATTTATTTTGAATAAAAAAATGTGACTTTTAAATAATAGAATTAATAAAAATAATAAAATTCAATTAAATTTAAAGAAATTTATTTCAAATTTAAATGCAATGTAAGAAAAATTTGAACAAAATAAATAATTGAAATAAAATAGACATTACCAAAGTTTTATTGTCAATAATTAAAATTTTAACCTATATACACAATAAGAGTGATTACAACATTGAAGAGAGATTAAAAAGTAACCAATGTTTAATAAAAATTCACTGCACTTTTATTAACATATCATATCCATATTAAGATATCATTATGAAAACCTGAAATTGCACTACCTATTTCTATCAATGGTAATAAATTTGGAAAAGCATAATTATGCTTTCACAATAGCATAAATTTATAAATGAATGTATGTAAAATGACATATGAAAATGTTATAACGAATGTACCTATCCAAGTGACATAATTATATGGTACCAGTTTTGTTCATATTTATGGGCTTTAATTTGATGGCCATATTCATAGTGTAGAAATTGATTGCATGTTAATTTATTGTTGTTTTTATTTATACAATTTCAATGTGATATCTGTGATAATAGTTGTATAATTAGGCATTTAGATGTTTTTTACAATATATAATATTTTTATTTTTAATGATTGTCAATGGTGATTAAAATTTTGTTTTGTTATATAAAATTTAGTTTAAATTATTTCTATATCATGTTGGGGTTGTATGATTTTTTAAAGGGAGTATGTTAGTTTTCGCCTTATACAAAAGAGTACATAACATTAGTTATTAATGTAATTTTCAAAATATTTTGGATTGAACAATTTCTCGAAAACTTGTTTATTATTGAGGCATGGAATCTAACATCTTTTTCCTTGTGGAATATTTATTTTCAATCATGATTTTACAAAATTTCAATACAGCAAAATTTATAGGTACTTTTATTCATTATATTGTAATAATAAATAAGATTTAAGTATATAATCTTATTATAATACTTTTAATTATCGAAAAGTCCATTTTGTATCTTGTCGAAAATGGTAACTGCAGCTATTAAATGTTATATGAAAATAGTTCCTAAAAGTTGCATATAGAAAAGAGTAGAATCGTTGGTCAGTAACGATTTTTATATAACCACCGTACTTCATTAACGTATAAGCTATTTTACAAACTAATTATAAAAATCTCTCATAGTTTGTTTTTTCAAGTTCATACTCTTTTCTTGTGATGTGTATTTTTTATTGAAAATACAAAGATTAATCAACCATTTATTGAAAGCGTCGGTGTTATATATTTAGTTCATAAGTTATAGTTATATATTTTATTTGATAAGTAACGGAGAATTATCAAAAAACGTCATGGATTGATGTTCCAGAGTTTAAGTTTGGATAAAGAAGAGCGCGTCGCTAAAATCACGTTCAATACATCGGAGGCGGCCGAATCGTTCAAGAAGAAATTCAACAACAAAATGGTGGCCGCCAGTAAACTTGTCGTTATTTTACATTGATTCATATTATTAATAATAGACTCTAAGCCATAAGCTTTAAAGCTTGTATTTGATGGACACTGCATTTTAAAAAATCTGCTGTTCGCTCTATATTGTTCATTATAATGTTATTTGGAAAATTACCTTCGATTCCTTGACTTTAAAGTTGTACACATTTTTTTATTATTTTAATTTAAGAGTTTGTGTGAACTTGATCATTCAGTAAAGTCAATACAACAATAGATATATTCCTCAAAATTGTTTGGCAAAATAGTGTTGCAAATTAATTATATTTTTCTGTGTTAATTAAGTTAAGTATCTCCTATTTGTAAATGTTCTGGAAACGTTCATACAAAGAATTTCATATTGCAGTTTTTAAAAACTTTCTATACACATACCTCGTGTTTATGAAAATAGAAAGCGTTTGTATTTATTTTAAACACTTCAATGTTTATATAAATTCAAAATTATAGTCACGCGGACCTACAAAAAGACCATACCATTACCATTACGTTTCCATACATATAGTAAGTTCCAACTTATATCGTAAGATAAAAAATTATAATAAATCTTAATTCAATATCCATAAAGTATAATATACAACTCTATGTGTCACTCACACTCAACGGGGGTCTGGTGATGGCGCGCTATTGAATCATTTTGATTGGCCAACATTTGCCACATTCAGAACTTCATGCTCAAATACGTCAATCGATGCGCAAATACAGTCAAATCAGTTTTTATCTAACTGTACACACCTTACTTAATTTAACAATGGGCTATCTCAAATTGATAAAAGGCCATAATGGTGGCCAGAGACAACCAAGAATAAAGTTTCTAGTACTGCGTAGCAGTGGAACTCGACGGTCATACATTTTAATTATTACCTCGGTCGATAAAGTTCACTCTGCTACATCAGTGAATCTTTGGTTAGCTTACAAGCGAGCTCAGTGTGGATAGATTGATATTAACCATGTAACCAACGTGCCTTCCGAGGCACGGATGAGAAAATGATAAGTCTGGTAACCTTTAAAATATGATGACTGCTCACTTATTGTTTATGGTATACTTTTTTTAGATCCGTACATATATATTGTATAACTAGTGGACGCCCGCGACTTCGTCCGCGTGGAAGTCGGTATCCCGTGGGAGTGAGAAGTTTTCCCAGTAAAAAGTACCCTATGTGTTATTCTGATGTATAACCTATATTGCTGTAAAGTTTTATCCAAATCCGTCCAGTAGTTTTTTCGTGAAAGAGTAACAAACATCCATACATCCATACTTACAAACTTTCGCCTTTATAATATTAATAGGATTAATAAGTTCTACATCAATATTTGGACTAAAACCTTAAATGGAATTTAAAAATATGTATATATATTGTCTAAATATGTAAAGATGTTGTTTGGAAAATATGAGATCGATAAACCTACATTAAATTAAGTCTTGTTATGTGTCAGTACCAGTCTTATATTCAAACTAATTATGAGACCTTTCTTATGATCAGATTAAAAAAGGTACCTAAACATATTTCATAATATTTGATTTCCTTCTTTACATCGATTACATCCTCGGCATATATTTTTTTTTATTATGAATGAAAGAAAGGGGTTAACTGGATTTGTGATTAAATTTAGATATTCTATAGGTATTAATTACGCAAGGGGGTAGATTTTAGAAGTACACAAAGTTTAAAAATAACATTTTTAACCACAATAATGTCAACTACACTGTTCTAATATCGCTTGTGACTTTATTTTTGCGACTGGTTATAAGTCTGTTTTTTTTTATTAGCTTCATATGACATATATCTTTGTACTGTTTATAATTCTTTATGGCAGTTTCGTATTAATAATTAAATAAGACTGCTTTTTAATAAAAATTGTTTAGAATGACTAAATCTTTGGTTGGAAACTTGTAATTTATTATATATTATTTATATAAAGCACCAGTGGAACAAAAATGTTTATTCTTAATGTATACTCGCTTTATCGAAAATATCGGTATTTTCTGTCTAGATTACACTTTTACACGTAGTTTTTTTTTTAGTTTTTGTTATTTATGGTGAAATCATATCTACGAGCATATATTGTAATAGATATTATTAATTATTAGTCAAAACTGATGTCTGTTCCAGCTGCGAAAAATAGACTTAATGGCTCATTTACACTAGCCAATGACGTTTGCATGCGGGATTGCAGGCGATTTCTACTATTCGTTTTCATAGATCAGTAGATTAATAAATTCAGTGCGCACTCATCGACCAATACTACACAATACTAGCAAAGTGGTCGGCAACCTTTTTGCAGGCAAAAGTCACAAGTTGACAAAATAATGAAAGGCGGGCTGGGTTGCTTTACGCTTATCGTGAGACGAGAAGCATATTTATTTTTCACTAGCTTTTGCCCGCAATTTTGTCTGTGTGGTATTAGTATTTCTACTTTTTTATGTGCTACAAATACATTGTCAAGATTATAAACAGAACAGGAATGTTCTTATTTTCACTTTTTTGGGAATGTTACCTCATTCTTTTTTTTTTTGTAGACTAGGCTTCTCCGTTTAGAAAAACTAGCAAGACTAGCTATTGAGAGCATTATTACATTGAAGATGAACACGTTCTTTTATGACTGTACTTCTTAAATATCAAAAAGATTACGGGCCACAAATAGGATAACGGTCAAGTGATTGCGTTCGCTGAAATACTCAATAGGATCTATATTTTCGTATTCGCGTGTCTGCATCCATTGATACTAAAGAATACACTTGAAACGCATTTTATTAACAAATACAGGAGTGTAATTGGACTTTGAAAGTTGATTACGCTTCTATTTAAAAAGGAACCATTACCAATATATATTTAATATGTTGATAGATGAGATTTTGTACTCATAGTAATGAAAGAAAAGTACGTCACTGTTTAGTTTGTACGAGATTCTTTTTTTTGTTTTGTTTTTAGAATAACATGCAAAATTATTGATTTCAATGCTGAGATAGTCTTAAACTTTTGGCTGATTTATATAGTAAATTATGATATAAGATCTAATTTTATCATAATAACAATGTTTTCTTCAAAAAATTAAAATTTAATTTCTTCAACAAACTGTTGTAAGGTTTAATTTTGATGTATATGTTTTTGTTAAAATAGTATTGTAGGTTCATAGAAAATATATTTTTACTTACAGTCCAATAGTATCTGTACTATATTCTTTTTACTTAAATGTATATCCCAAGGACAGATGTCATCCCAAGATGCATACAGTTACGATTCCGTAGTATGGATTTAAGTTCAAAACTATATGTTACTTATAAACAGTATGTGTAACAGGACCCCCAAAATAATATGTTTTGAACGATATGCAATAAAATCATGTTAGAACTTACATTTGTCTGTGGTTAAATTTTAATTTCCGTTAATACAGGCAGAGATGCAGGTTAGTATAATTTTAGTGGTTAAGACTTACTGTTAATTTCTTAGCGTTCTTGGAAAAGTAAAACTTATGTAGTTAAAAATGGTTTTATTGTCTAATAAAAACTTATATAGATTAATTTGTGTTGCATTTAATTTGTGTTATTTTGGAAAGACGTGATATTTTATATGAACATTTATTCGCTGATTACACGTTAGAAATGTTCGGTTATTATATTTGATCAATCTTGCATTTATAATGCTATATTTATATTTAAAATATTCAATGGCCACTTCTGGAGTGCTTTTTCTAAAAGTTAAGTGGCTAATATACAGTAACTTAATATTTACATATTTGGTTACATGTCATTGGAAAATAATGTGTTTTATTTTTAAAATCACCGAATGAAAGAACTGTTAATTATTCAGAAATATATTATTAATAATGAATTCAAATAAATGCATTATTAACAATATATTTTGAGTTTCAGTATATTATAATTGTTTTATCCCAAATACTAGTTCTTTGAGTCTCTAAATTAAAACGGAATACTCGCAGATTTTTTACTTAGAAACTGTTATTGTAATACAGTACGTTGTTTTTTATTATTTTTATTTCCAAATGAAGACATCGAATGTACCCGCATATCCCAAATAAATTCAATTGCAGGAATTTGTGTTTTAATTTAATTTAAGGCAGTTTAGTACCCATAGAATATTAACTTTACGTCATAATATAACAAATGAATATTTGTTTAAGAAACCTAATAATGTAGAATTAATTTCTCCAATAATTGATTTCATTTATATATAAGACAAGTATCTATGCGAATGACTCGTATATTTTTTTGTCTTATTTTTTATTTGTGATAAATTTAAAGGTAATGCATATAGAAAATATTATTTGCATAACAATTTATAAAAGACTGAAAATTAAATAAAAGTTTTTAATCTATAAAGTCTTTTATTCACTGGTCCATGTTCCTAATTTACACTATTGACACCTTTACTTAATATTATTAGTGTAGAGGATTTATATTAATTTCCACATTAAAATATAAAATCTCCAACGAACATACAAATAAATTATATATGTCTTTTAGTACATAATAAATATTAAGCACAATCAAACATTAATCGCTAGTTGTTCATGTAAAATAATACGTTACAAATACGTTAGTCTACAAGTACAACACTTAAAAAGTACATAAGTACACAAATACACATTAAAGTATATGACTATCAAACACAACCATAAAAAATATTCACTTCGTCTTTTTATGTTCAAATAAAACTTTACAGTTCATGAAAATTACATCTAATCTAGATTATTTTACTCATTGGATGTTTTCGATATTAAATTGTATCTGAAGACTGGATAATGGCTCCGTGATAAAGTGAGATGTTTGTATGAAAGAAATAAATCGGTGGAGTAAATCATTTACATTCTCACCAAAACTCCCTCTTCTTACAGAATAAAACAATGTAAAAATTAACAAAGTTAATAACATAGAGAAACTAATCACGATAAGACAGAGTACATATTCAGTTGCACAGCACTATGCTACCTACTGTTGTATTACCCAACAAAGTCGTGCATTTAAATAAATTTGTTCTGAATAAAGTGGTTACAACAAAGCAGACTTACCGCCCTTTTGAAGAAATTAATTTGATAACTTGATCTATTTATTTGGTAACAAAATAATATTTTAATAACTGAACAAATTAAAATATAACTTCTGTACAATATTAAATATGTATTTAGTGGCGGTAAACCTAAATATATTTGATGATACAAAAATATAATTCTTTATTTAGCTTTCCATATTTATAAATATGGAGTACACTAGACATATTCGATTAACTACGTTTAAGTCTATATCTAGCTTTCGGATAGTTTTACAAATGATATTTAGAAACTTTATAAATAGGTATCTAATATAAACCTGAACAGACTAGAGTAAAATTTCCTACCACTTATTATAAGTGACTTTTTTTATTTGAGCAGTTTGTCGGTAAGCAGATTTTTTTTTCTGTTGCATATAAATTACAGTTCGATAGTATGCGATATACTGATAAAACACACACAAACGTTTCTTTGAGACAAAAAGATAATCATTCTATAAAGGTGAATTTTCATCACTCCATAGTAGTACACAACTTAACGCTACTTAAGTTAGAACACATAGTTATGCCTGAAGCTAAGGAATGTGGCTATGTTGAAGTATTTTGGTGCGGCTGCCAACAAACTTCTGTATTCTGCGGTGAAAGCTTCAGGGTGGTGGATCAAATGGGAATGTAATGATACATCCAACAGGGGGCTTGATTGTAGCGACGCTGGAGCCTATATTACAAAAAAATACATGTGGAAATATTAACAACTACATGATAATATTAATGCTGGATATCAATTAGGGAAGCTTCAAATTCTTCATAGTTGACGCTTTGATTTTACGCTAGGTGAATTGACCTATAGAAATGGAGGGAACAATTGCGGATCGATGAAATAAATTGGATACCTCAATAAAGTTCATTCTTTTGAAATTTAAGTGTTTCGAATTATTAACTTTATAACGAAACTGTACTTTTTGTTATGTAGGTAGTTTGTTCATCAGTATTCTTTTTTAATGTTAGCATCATGTTTTTTAAGCTGACATTCGAATCGTAACGCAACTCTCGTGCGTGACATTCAGCTAGTTGCACAGAAGTCCATTTAAATTTTCATTAGTTTAAAGTGACATTACCCATACAATTTTGACATTCATTAGAGCTTAAAGGCGTCTTTAAACCTTAATGGACGTTTGTGCAACTGACCGATAAAGTAAATTAAAAGCAAGTTGTTACTTGTTCCCTCATACAATAAGCAAGTATTTAAAAAAAAACATTAGTTCCCGAAATCAAACTAGATGTCGCTACGGTACGTTCTTGATTTCTCCATGAAAACCCTTCCAGTTTTCTTTCATGTTTAAAAGTAAATTACTTTTCAAAGCCCAATAAACAACTTGTGGCGACTGATACATAGCGACATCTAATTCATCGTAGTAACATCGCCACAACAATCGATAGCGAGAAGACAAGCATCGTCACAGCCATCGATAGCAAGACGAACTGCAATAAGTTTCAACAGCAAGTAACGAGATGGCGCTGTACCAATACAAGCAACATAAATTAATAACTACAAGACCATTTAGAACAAAGAAACCTACATCGCACAGAATAAGTTTCATTACCAATTAACATAAATAGAACGTCCAACCTACTTCGGTTGGACCGCGGTCCCCGGGCTAACAACACCTAGCTCGGAGGGAGACATTTATCCTTTAGTCTCCCTGGCCAGTTGTCTCCATCACCACATTAGGGACCCAACCTTCAACCTTATGGTTCCTAAAAACTCATATTCTATTTGTAATTTTTCTTATTTGTATTGATATCGAAGCATCGAACTTTTCAAATTTCAGTTTTTTTATATGTTAGTTAAAAGGAACGGAAATGACTGTCTTTGGTCCATTTGTTTTCTGCAAAAATCAACTTTAGCTAGAGTCGCCATCTAGTGGAGGTGCTTTTTAGTGCTTTCGTTTTTTTTAATACTTTCTCATTGCTTTATCAGCGTAATTTGCTTGAGAACGACAATTTATTATGTATTAATTCTACTTTTAATTAAATGCAGTCGATTTCCGTTGTCGAACTATAACTGTTTCCCCACGATTTAGCACACGTAAATAACTTTTACGCAGGCGAAGTCGCGTAATTTTTTAAGATTGCGTGTAGACTCGCGTTTTCAGTCGGCTAATGCATCAAATCGTAAAGGTTCAAATTTGCGGTCTGAGCCTTAGGGCTATTAATCGATACTATAGTAAGGTCGCCAAATAGAAAGAATTTCGTACTCTACTGATAGATATCGAAGACATTTTAAGTTCACGTTACTATGACAAACTTGCCTAGATGCACCTGTGCGAGCGCAAAAGCACTATTTTTGCGTGCTAGTGAAGGAGATAGAATGCCAGATCATTGTACGAAATTGTCTCTCTTCGGCGGTCGTGTTTTACTCAAGAACGCCTTAATATTTATCATATAAAATATTCATTTACATTATTTGAGCATCTTAAATTGATACCAATATCTACTAAAGTAATTGATACAGATTCTACGTATAGTACTCACCCGTACGTCGACAGATATCGTGAGCGGTGGTATGTTCTGTGTATATGTAGCGACGGAGTGTATGATCAAGTATACAGGTCGATCTGACACATTGAACGATGGTTTCAGGGGAGTGTTCAGCGACCACTGAGACACAGTCACGTTGTCGCGCGGATGGAAAGTAATCAGGTTGTGCGGACTCACTGCCGAACAGATCATACATTACTACATCATTTTTATTGGAACTCTACACGTTACATGTTATATAGTGTGCGGAAGCAGCCGCTTTAGTTTGCAACCACAAACGTCCAACATTGTAGAACAACGTTCCACTTCATAAGGTTAGATAATTCCATCTTAAATTAAAATAACATACATTATTGTTAGTACTACTGTATGTGTATGTAGCTCAATGTATATGCTAATGTATATGATTGTGAGTATGTGTATTTGTATTATAAGTTTATGTGTACATCTTTTATACAAATGCAATGCGTCACAATTATGCAAATCTAACAAGTCCTCAGTATCTCTGTAGAACAATGTTCTTAGTCAATGTACCAATCGAGTTTTGCAATCTAGCGATGTGACAGAATGTAATTTTATTAAGGGGCCGTCCAATAACTTGAGGCTCAAAAGGGGGGAGCGGCGTCAATAAATTAAGATTTTTTGTAGGTACTAAAAAATCACGTGATTTGCGTGCTGAGGGAGGGAGTAGTCTAAAACCTCACTATGTATCACCAAAGGGGTGAGGGAAGGGGGTTAAAAATGCTGAAAAACATCACATGATTAATGGACGGCTTCTAAACTATTGATTTTGTTATATGCATTACAGTAAATTAAACTAGTGTGCAGTAATATACTGACCTGTGAAGGTGAAGTTATATCTGCAGACATCTCCCTCACATTGCTTGGTAGCGGCGGCGTGTGGTGAAGGGGAAAGGGGTGCGGGGGGGCTACTGTACATAAACACGGACCGGCTCCTGTACACACAAGAACAATTATGCACTATCATACTTGGTCACTTGACCAGCAAGCGTAGCATGACAAACTCGAGAAACGCTTTGTCTACACTCATTTGTCAGTTTCTCGGGTTGAGAGTGAGATATCGTATGGGCGAGCCCGAGAAAAGTGACATTTGAGTGTAGACAAAACGTTCTCGCGTTCGTCATGCTACGCGTGCAGGAAGACCAAAATTGAAGTATGATGGTATGTTTTGATTTTAAACTATCAAACTATAATTGTTGCTATCAGTTGTTAATTTATCGTCATTACACATCAGACCTCAAAGAAATCGAATAGAATTTTTTTTAGTCTTACACCCGAATTGAGAATTTAAAGTTAAGCACGCCTCAAACCGTACTCAAACAATCTTAAAGTCACTTTAACAGATTTTCGTTTCTGATTTTGACTTTTTTAACGATAAGTTGAGAGCAGTTTAAAAAACTAGGTCTTTTTGCCATGTGAAACGTAAAAAACTTAAGTTCTTGAGAATAATCAGTTGAGATTTTGTACTTTTCTCAATTCAGAAACCGGCCGTTAGTTTAGTCGTTTGTTTTGGAATCAAAATAAATTTAAATCATGATTAGAATTATTGAGAACGTCTTACTTTATTTCAATTCATAAAAAATCTGAAACTTCTAAAAACGGTTTAGGCGCACCAACCATAATAATAAAAAAATATAGAACGAAATACTCGTGAAACTATCAAATACATAAATAATAACAGTATACTCACAGCACCCTCCCGAAGGCTATCCTGTAGAGAGGCAGGCCACAGTATATTTCAGTATGACAGTCCGCGCCGAAGTCAGTTCGCGCGTGCAGGTGTACGCCCGCGGTATTTAGTGCTATTTGTGCTCGCGACGTAGAGTAAGGATCATGTTTAGTGATCAGGACACCTGCGTTACGCTCTATCACTGACTGACTAGCGTCGTGAGATACTATCTCAGAGTGCTGGCGAACAATTCAGAAAGAAAAATGTCATAATATATGTCGCATCATCTTTACGAAGATCGTTTGATTTAGTTTCTTTTATTTTAATTGCTAGTTACTCGATTACTTAATAACTCGATTGTAGAGAGAGCGTGATCATCGATACTTTTAATTTTATTAGAATGGTGACACTGACTTTGACAGTTCGTTAACAAAAACCAAATTGCCGCCATTTTCGCACACATTCTGTTTTCGATCGCCGAAGAATAAAGACATCCGACGACATCACGCTCATTTCGTTATATTTTCGTGTGAAAAGTGATAAAATGGAACAAATCCACGTTGGTATACACGCCTGCAGTGTTATTTTAAAGATAGTCCTCCGATATGGCCGATCTATTTGGGCTTCGTAATATCCCCTTCTGACTACCTTTCCGACATATAAAATTCGGCTTCACGGAGCGTCCCTAGAAGAAGGGCGCCATACGAATTCTGCCCCGGTCAAAGAAAATCGTAGGACCGGTCCTGTTTACAATGAGACTTTAATAGTCACTGGTTGTGGAAAAGCCTATGATACCCGCATATAATGTAGCTTCCCGTTGATGAAAGAATTTTTCAAATCGGTCCAGTGGTTTCGGAGCTTTTTTAATCCAAACGATCAAATTTTGCTCTTTATAATATTAAAATAGCCATGGTGTATTAACAGCCCTATTACAATTTTGCACTCCGTGAGATATTTGAAGCTTCTCGACCACGTATCTATGGTCATAAATTCACAATACCATAGTATTATAGAATAGTACACCGACTCGAGCCCCTGAGCGAACGATAATAGCCTAAACCAAGTTCTTGCTTATAGATGCTTCAATCGTCATGTATTGATTAAATCTTGAGGTGAAAAACTATAAAATTTTCATTTTGCAGCGTTTTGATAAATTACGGTCGAAAAGGATTAGTCAAAAAGCAAGGCCGCTACGAACTATGGCAAGAATTATTCTGCACTATCCAATAAGTCAAAATTATTAATACATTTTTGTATTGTAATATGGTTCTTTAATTATACAAACATTTTATTTTCAAAATACAAAAAAATATTAACAGATGGCGCCATATGTATCAATTTTAATAATAAATAAATATTTAACAACATCACATACATTGCTCAGATTCCAAGATGAGTAGCTGAAGCCCCCGTATTATGGAGTATCTGAGACAACGAAGGTACCACAACACCCAGACCTGAGTCAATATAGAAAAGTTCATTTTCTACATTGACCCGACCGGGAATCGAACCCGGGACCTCAGAGATGGCGACACCTTGAAAACCGGCGTGCGACCCACTCGGCTACGGAGGTCGTAGAATTTTAAGTAACAAATTTTTTAATTTGCATTTAAGATACAAGAATCAATTTAAAATTTGTTCCAATACAATTTACAGGTACTTAAATACCAATAGAAATCAGTCACGTGACATTTTGGCCCGTGACGTCACGTTTTCGCAACTTAATTTTGCATAAATAAAATATATTTACATTTTATTTTAAAATGAAAAAAAAAACAATATACTCGTAGTTATTTTTTACTAACTCTCAAATAGCCAATCGTATATAGAAAGAAAATGAATATTATAATAGTGCTGTACTCACAAACCAGTGATGTCTCTGCGTAGAAGGCCCGTTATCTTGATACGGACTGAACGGTATAAACATAAGTATCACGCTCAATCCTCCCAATACTCCCAAGGGAACCCAAAGCTGGCGGCGGGAGAATAACAGTTCGACGCCCGACTGGAACGTAATGAAAGTAAAACCAAACTTGTATACGTGTAGCATTCGACACAAGAACCAAATTTAGTAACAAAATTAACTTCGCCTTGGGAAAATTGTTGTATCAGGACGGGTTTTTTAAATTTCCAAATTATATAGCGTATGGTGGATCAACGTTTGCATAGAGCAGATCTACCAATTCTATAGATGATCGATTATTATTTATTATTATATAAACACGTGGATTGGCGAATAGCGCAATAACGTGATAGATATTAGTAACTAGCTAATTTAACTGCGAAGGGTTAAAGATTTAGCCTACGATCTAAATCTTTGCACAAATCCACGTTTGTGGATTTGTGCAAAGATCGACAGTGCAGGCACGGTACAATTAATGTACCGTGCCTGCACTGGTACATTAATTGTATCTTACCGTAAATCACTTCATAATAAGTTTATTTCATATATATCGATGTAATTATTATTACTTTTGATATAAAAAGAAGCGTTATTATTGTTTTAGGACAAGATGTGAAAATGCCTGTAATAAAAATTGTACCTATCGGTCATTTACAAATTATTAGTAGAATTTTAGACATTTAAGTAGTTAGTCGTGTTATCAAAGATTTAGATAACGCGATAGACACCTTTAATTCTAAGACATATTCATATATTCGTTAGATCATCGACCCGATCGATGAGTCAGTCGGTCACCTTTGCCATTTTATGTAATAAATACATTTTAGACATGTCGGAAAAAAATAATGAAATTAAGTACATAAAATCTACATTCAATTTTAACAAATTATTCTCATAGCGCTAAAAAACGACAGAATTTTAGAAACAAACTTATTAATTGAGTTATTATTTGTTTTTAAAGTAACGTGGTGAGTTTTAACCATTTAACAGTTTATAAAAAATGCTTAAAAAAATCCTCTTTTCACCTGGCGCTCTCAGAATAAAATCAAATATTAAAAAATAAAAAATAATATCAAATATTTTGGGCGGATCATAGTAAGCGTGACGTGGAAGGTACATTTGAAGTATATAGTTACCACAGTAACGCCCGCGAGTATTGCCATCCCTAGATTGATGACTGCTACGGTATAATCAGGAGTAGGACTCGACGATCTGCCCATAATCGGTAACATTATAGAGTCCAATCTCAACGCAAGCAGAAACATAAACATCGCCGACGGGATAGACAGTAGGAACTCCAGAATAAGATGTTGGTAACCTGGAAACGCACTCATGGTTAGATACTAACTATTCCTATCAAAAATCTCTAAAAGTCACGCCTAAAATATAAACATTGTTAGTAATAAAAAAGCGTTATACTAATTTACACTAGGGAATATAACACTAAACTTGGCGTAGATGGCAGCAGTAACACAAATGTAGAATTAAAAATTGCAGAAATTATGTACCTATTGTTTAATAAAATTACTCTCTTTCTTAAAAAAATATTATCTAGGCATCGCGCCATCGTAACAAATTATTAAGACAACATATTAAGCCATCGCGTGATCAAATAGCATCGCTCGTATCGTACCAACAAAAGATATGATGTCGATGCATTTTTTTTTTACAAAAAGTTGTAGCAGTTCAGTTTTGTTTTAAAATGGTCTCATAAGGACGTATTATTTATTTACTCTTCATTGCAAATAAAAATATCACAAAAGGCGGACTTATTGCCTAAGGCATTCTCCAGTCAACCTGGACAAATGTTGCAGATCAGTTATAAGCATTCTTGATGTTACAATAAGATGGATGAGACGCATGCCTTTGCATAACACTCTGTATATTGATCATAATTTCATGTACTCTTACTAATTAACATGACACCTGAAGGCCTATTCTATATTTCTGAAAACAAAATTTTCGTTTACTTTATAAATGCCAATCACGTGACCAAAGAAACGTATGTTTCGATGATCTATGATGCAACAGAGGTAGGGCCTTAAAACTGCTTCTGGTGCAAATACGAGTATCTTAACGGATATGGTTTTGCTTCTGATCGAAATACAATATTAATAGATATGATTTTAACAAAATTTAAAAAAACGATTCGACGTTATCCGACTTTTCATGGAGGGCAAATAGAATAGACCCTCTGGTGTAATTCTACTAACCTTGCAAACGGAAGTATCTGACGACGGTGATAGATATAATGGATGTTAGAGACATTATGAACAGAGGCACTGATAGTGCGTATCGCAGCGGTGTTAGAGCGGGCACAGCGGCCATGGCGGCCAATATACACGCTAGCATAAGCCGGGTGGCAGCCATAGCTTGCAACGCGCGGATAGAACGATTCAAACCACTCTGCAAATATTAATTACCACTTAATCATCATCAGACCAAAAAAGGTAAAAAGAAATAAAAAGAACTTGTAAAATTTTTACTTTTTACATTTTTTTTTAACGCCTGCGTGGAAGCTCGTATCAAATCAAGGGTTAAAGCCTTTTCAAAAACTAGCCATTTTTAGAACTAACTTATTTCACTGCTTATCTTAAGTACCTAGAGTGGTCACGCTTCCTAAAAATATCTGCAGTTGTGACGTGTGCTTCGAATTGAAAAGCGAAGCGATGGCTGATTCATGCGTCATGCTCGTAAACAGGTCCATTTTCTTTTATTATGAATAGTGTACATTAAGAGTATGTATGACTCGGCAACCGGCATATTAATCGATTGCCGAAAAAAAATATATCTAGTTTGTTATTTCTGATATTGTAATAGAAAGTGATTCATATTCTAATGAAGCCAGTTTCCAATAAGACATAAAATAGGGAGAAAAAGCCGCCCTTGCAGTTTCCTGCCGGTTCTTCTCAGTACAAGGTCTCCCACCGTAGATTTGCGAACTGATGGCATAGTTTTCGACTTTTGTTATTACAAGGATATTGCCTAAACTGAATAAATTATATTGAATTTGAATTTAAAGATAAAATAACAAGGAAAGATAGGGCCTTAATACCGTGCGTTTTGATGCGTATTAACGACTGCAGATGTGGCTGCCGAAGCGCTGAGGAGTTTGATATTATACATTTTTGGTAACCCATACAATGACCGGCCAACCCCAAAGCACTGTGCCTTCATTACCATTTAGTATAATTAGATATTTATTACCGAAAAGACAAATCAAATCAAACTCGTTTATTCTCCGGAATTACTATCTCTGATCAACTTCAATACGCGTTTCAGAGTTCGCCATCCGAACATCTTCTTGCTGCACGTTTACAGAAATAACACGTCCTATTATAACCCAATTATCCGTATGTGTCGTCTATATAATGATCTAGCGGGGAAACAGGAAAGCTTGGACATTATGAACGATCGCCTTGGTCTGTTTAAGCGATGTATTACCGATGTGCTTTTTGAATCATGTTGAATGTGTAATTATTGATTATTTTATTAATTTCAATGTTGTAGTCACTGTTAAAATATAATTTTGGGATTAATTTGTAAATTTATTGTAATTAATTTAAATATAATCTAATTTTATTCTTTATTTTATGCATAAAAAATATAATATACTACTATGCAACCATTATAATTGTCATGATAAGGCCACAAAGATTTGGTTTACAATCTAGTTTATAAAATACTTGAATTGCTGTAAATTAAACTCAATTTGGTTGTGAACTGTTTTGTGTCCTTACTTAAATAAATAAATATTCAGTCTACGCTTATAGAAAGCACTTGTAAAAATCGAAAACTACGCCAACGGTTCGTAAAACTATTTCTTATATATATAGCAAAATTATTTATTATATTATTCGCAAAACTATTTATGACATATATATGTAGTAATTTGTTGTTGAGTTTTCTCCCCTTCTAATCTAGTATATTGAGTGATCATTATAAATCGATAATTACAGTATAAAGATAAGATATTAAAATATGCGTATCTCTCTAAATAAAACTAGGAAAAAGAGTTTCAAGATAACTATCTCCGTTTAAATTTACTATGTTACGACGATTCGTATCTGAACAGGCGCATTATGTGTCAGGCGTGAAATATCTATTAATTTGGACTTAAATCCAATTGATGCGATTGATTCTGCTTAGTATATCATATAAATGCGTTAAGATCATCTTTCACAAGTATAAAATAATAAAATTTACTATAGAAAATAAAATAAGATTTATATGAAGTGAACTTCGAGATCAAAAATGTAAACAAAAAATTGTCACCACTATGCTAATAGTATATTTTGGTGATGAAATAACGCGATAAAATCGAAATCTGAATAATTTATGGTAAAGAATCAATTACATAACAGTGTGTTAATTAAAACTGCACTCAACATAAAAACGGTATGATTAGGTATATAAAATCATAATTTAAAAATGACCTAACTTGATTATTATTTATATATAGTCATATGAGTAGTTCGGGGCGTAATGGATAAGCGCCGTGGCCCGTGATAGTTGTCGTTAAGCAACTTTCGCAAGGGTTGGCCTCGGGATGGGTGACCAAAGAATTAATATGTCAAGCTTACTCCGTGCTTCGGGATTCCGTCCCGGTGGCATTTGTAGTCGTTAATATCCACCAATCAACATCGGGTCATGGCCATCCTCCTTAAGGATGGCATAAGGAAGGCCTGATCCCCTGCAGTGGGGACGTAAATGGGCTGATGATGATGATGATGATACGAATAATTACCTTCTTCGTTCTCCAGGCGTCATAGAGATGAGCGATGGCGATGCCAGTGATAATGTACGGCATCCAATACACAGCCACCACTAACCACGGCTGAGTCAGATATCTAAACATATTGAAAGAGCAATCAGTTCTAGATTCCTATCCTATTGGTTGAATAAAAATATTTCCTGAATTTATATGAAAGTAAAGCTCGAAGTATACGATGGCTAAAATATGAGTCAATATTATTATTAAATTATAAATATTTATATAACAAAAGTTATTTATTCGGAATGTTGTTTACTTATCAAAGCCTTCAAGATTATCTTCGCATTATGCTATATTTTTCTGTACGTTATTTTAAAGTTGTAAATTGAAAGGTTTCGGAGCTAAACTGTTCGATCATTTTCAGGATATCGAAACCGAGATCTGAGAATTTATTACGGACTATGAGCGAGCAATTACGTGGTTCATTGCATTTCCATAAATATTTTTTCTTTTCGTTCACCCTAAAACTAGAATCTATTAAGCTATGCATAGGCGTGGCGTAGACGTAGATACAAGATAATGATTTTAGTACAGACTGGTTACGTAGCGTTTCGACTTAGGTTATATTCTGTAAACATATGCAAAACCGAGTGTTACGTTCACACCATTGGCGTATATGTAATACGTTACAGCGTAATGTCAACAAGTATTTGTTGACATTACGCTGTAACGTATTACATATACGTAACGTAACGTATTACATAACGTATTACATATACATAACGTATTACCTTGTTATGTATATGTAATACGTTATATTCTTTTTCTGGTAGTATTTAATATAATATTTCCTATAATCACACTTTTATGCTTATTAAATTTATAATATTGCTCAAATGAATCATGAAAAAACAAATATTTTATACTCGTTGTCACGTGACTGCAAACAGCGCGTGACGTCACGCCCCTCTTACTGATATCAGAACTTACAGAATTAATTTAGAGGGGCGTGACGTCATAGTGACGCTATGACAGAAGGTGGCGCTTGCGCGGGAAATTTTGAAAATAAAATGAGTTTTTAGATTTTAACTAAGTATATAAATAAATATTTTTTTGAAATATATTTTATGTATAGCTATCTATAATAAAAAAAAATGTGTAGCCCTGTTGTAGATAAAAAATACACTTTAGTTTCAAATCTACGCTCAGTCAGCCTGATTACAGTCGGCGGACAGATTATACGTTAGTATTGGACACTGTCCAAAAGTTACTCTTTCTTTGTACATAAGTACCTGAGTTGTATGGTGCTCGCCACCATGACTGCCGTGGCCACCACAACGACCACACAACCCGCCACTAACGCGGCTATCCTTCCCATTAACACCATCAACAATTCCTGTACTGTCGACCATCCTAATCACAAAGAATACACTGTAAATAGATAATAGGGATGTCGAAAAATATAAAGTAAAATGGAGGTTTCTAATGTTATTAGAATTATTAATATCTAAACAAAGCCTGCGCTAGTTTATAATCTAACGAGATCTATCCTAATATTATAAAGAGGTTGAGTTTCTTACTTTTTTTTTGTGTTCGGAAATACTGATCCGATCATGAAAATTCTTTTAGTACGGTTAGCTACATCATAAATTGGCGAAGTCGCGGGTTAATAGTAGATTGTTAAGCAAAGATGTATACAATTTTACGATGAGATATAAGTCATGCAGTAGACATAACTCAATATCGACAAAAAATGCACCAAGAAAACTTTCAACCGTCAATGCATACAAATCATTTTCTTGAGTTTCTTCTGTTTTAAAATATTTTAGCTATTATCTGCAGTGCTTAACACGTTAGTATTATTCTGCATTGAATTTGCGTGATCAACGGTCTTTTCCCCTTTTGTTTTCAAAAACGGTCAGTATATACTAAATATGCACATAGAGTAGCTCGGTGGCTTAGTGGATAAGCGCCGCGGCCCGCGATCGTTGTCGTTAAGCAACTTTCGCAAGGATCGGTGACCAAAAAATTTGTATCTCGAGCTACTCCGTGCTTCGGAAGGCACGTTAAGCCGTTGGTCCTGGCTGCATTTGCAGTCGTTAATACCCTCCAATCCGCATTGGGCCAGCATTGAGGGTCATGAACCATCCTCTTTAACCATCCATAAGGAAGGCCTGAGCCCCTGCAGTGGGGACGTAAAAGGACTGATGATGATGATGATGTACATAGACTATTTAATAATAAAACTTTAGTAGTAAATAAATATGAAAGAACAGGAAAGATCTAATGAACTCACTCGGTCCCGCCAACCAGACGTAATATATGACGGAGAGAATTGCGAACATGGCTACGAACACGTCCAATATATGAGATGCTGGATAACTTATAGACACCATGAACATGTTCAGGTAGTCCAAGTACACCATTTTAGTTGGCTCCACCTGACATAACAAAGGAAAATAATTTTTATCGCTTTTTAATAGCTAATTTTCATATAATGAATTTCAAATTTAAAAGAACCCGGCAAGGTTGCAGTGTTTTCTATTCTTGTTACTTCACATTAATATTCGTTTACAAAATTTTGACGTCATAATCTATTTGTTTCTAATAAAAAAAAAAAGAAAACATAATAACCTTATCTGGCTTGAAGGACCATATAATTTTCCTTACTCAATCCATATTCAACATTTTTAGAATGTATATTTATTGACTAATATTTTATCTGTCAGTTTTATTCCAATTTGCTGAAAATATCAATATCATAGCATATTACTACACTAACCTTTTCGTCAAGGTCCATGTCAGCGGCGGCTATTAGTACATTGAGCAACATATTGCCCGCATTCTGTACCACACCCGCTTTCAACAACTCCGGACTGTCGTACCGCGTGTGGTACACATGACCCCACTTAGTGAAGGCCACATCTATGCCTACACGCAATAGACATACTCATAATTATCTCAAATAGAGTAAGGAACGGGCATAATAAATAAAGTAATATATACAGCATACTTATAATACTGGAAAATAGAGTGATATTTATGATTACGTTTATAATAACACTAGCTTTCGCCAGCGGCTTCGCCCGCGTGGGCCCTAGGGAAATGTTAAGTGGGATAAAAAGTTTCTATCTGTACATTTATAATATTAATAGGATTAACAAATCACAATGGAAACTTGTGAAACTTAAGCTCTTACTGAAGTGTTTACTGCATACTGACATTATCTTTTCAGTTCAGAATGTAAAAGTGTTCAATTGCCGAAGTGTCCAGTTCCTAAAATGTCCCATTCCCAAAATGTCTTATCTAGTATCATTACGCGTTTGATGAATACACAGATGATTAACATGTAGAACCGAATTGAACAAGTCCCCATAACCTGTCTTAAACATATGAAAAGATTAACAACATATTATTTATTTATATACTCAACAAACCCATCGGGATACTAGATTGAAAATTTTAGGACTTGGGCATTTCAGAAAGTGGTCATTTCGCGAATTGAATTTTGGGAACTTGGGAGTTATGAACTGAAAGGCTCTTTATGAATAGGGAAATGCATCGGAAAAATTACATAACCTACCTTGTATTTGTCCAAAATCACGGAATACCCTGAAGTCTGTATCGGAGGGGATGATTCCCGACGAGAACAGGAACTCACCCACGGCCTGAGCACTGGGCCGCGATGTACCACGTTGGTAAGCGCGTAGGATGCGACTGTCTGTTACCTACAACACATCACAGTCTATACTCACTCACATTGTCTAACTTCCAACTTACATATTTATATACTTAAATACTTAAATCAGGCCCGGATTAAGGGGGGGATTAAACATTAGGAGCCTCTGAGGGGGAGTATGAGGTTTAAGGACGCAATATCAAGTTTCTGATCCGGTTAGAAAAAGATGTAGATCCGGGCCTGACCTCATTGGAAAATAACAAACGTCATTAGAACGCAAGGTGCAATGTAGTAAAAACTTCTTATGAATATCGACATCGAAACAAATCTTATAACTAGCAACACATCTTAAGTTAATGATGTAACTGTCTTAATACACACCTGGAATACCGATGGTTTCCCATTCATGCCGGCAGCGTCCAAGTTAATGACAGATGTCACTCCTGCCGCCCACGGGTGTTGAAGGAACGCGTGACTTCCCTACACATCGTATTCATATCAATATAAATATCTAATACATCGAAATAGTTACATCCTAGGAATGTTATTGCTATTAAGGATGTCTATGATATCTTAGTATGGATATCCCTGGAATCCAAGTCCTTGATCCTGGATAGGAATTTATTTATTATATATATATATATATATATTATTATATTATTAACGATTGCTTTGAGTTTTAAAGGATTTTAACTAATACGATTTTGACCATTTAAGTTCTAGATAAGTTAAAAATCTATACCCATATCCATATACATTTTTAAAAGTCTACGCCCCAAATTGACTGGTAGTTTCTCGGATCTTATCGGAAGATTTAGTAATGAACTATTGATATAAAATTTAAATGAAGCATTAATCTTCGAAGTGCAATGAAACTAGAGTGAAGTGTGATAAAATCAATATACAATTCAACAAAATTTTGGTAATTGAGGTGATTGCGATAGTACTTACCTGTAAAGGATTCTCTTCGGCGCCGTTGAACAGGAAGACAATGTTATGCCTAAACTTGCGCGTGCGCTGCGTGAGGCGGCGCAGCGTCTCCGCCATCACCGCACAGAATACCGCGTTATCCGATGCGCCTTACCCCATCATAACAAACAAAATTGATGATGAAACGAACTGACCAAGTGAAATTCAATCAAAATTATGTTTTGTAGCTTCGCGTACGTAAATTATGTAATGTTTCATTAAAATAATTTTAAAACTCTTCATCACACTATCAGATTAATCGAAAACAATCAGTCACGTGACATTTCGAACTGTGGCGTTACATTTCAAAAACCTGAGTACTTACACTCGCAACAAAGACGTTGACGTTTAGTTTATGAAATGTGACGTCACACGATGCTTCTTCATGGCACATGGTAAGGGATAATTGCTGTACTTTATTGAAAGTTAACAACACTCAACAATGAACTATATTACCTAGCGCAAAAGGAACAGAGTCGTAATGGCAGTTAACTAAAAGTGACGCCCCAGTGTCACCGTTAGGTCTGAAGCCGCTGTCTCCCTCTAACACAGCGATGATGTTAGACACATTTTGGTAGTAGTTCACGAATGGCACTCCGAAGTTCAGCCAATAATCACCTGCATCAAGAATATTGTTAAAATTAAAATTTCGAAACATAGCTACTGTCTCTCAAAATGTTATTTGATTTCGCAAGACGATTATTAGCGGCTCAATAAGATTATACTTGTTCTGACAATAAGAATAATGTGTTGTTTTCCTAAAATATAAATAGGTCTCTTAAAAGCGGAATCCCGATAACCTACCTAATACTTTTAGATTACCCAAAGCTTTGAGCCATTAAAATAGCGACAAGTATATGTTCATAAAAAGAATCATTAATGGTTATCATTTATGAAGATTATATATTTTTTAGATTTGCACAAAACGAAATCTTAACTAAACTATAACTGTAAACTATAATAAAAAGACTCATTAAAATAAAAAACAAAGATTATGACGACCCTACAAAAATAGATAAAAAATAAGAAATTCTCCATTTTAAAGTCCTTAAAAAAGCGATATTATTGAAACTCTATTGATAGACCATATTATAGTGTGGCTCTTGTGTACTCATTGTTGTGAGAGCCTAGTAAATAAATAAAAAAATCATGTTAACGTCAGCAGAATCGTCTGTATGATCATGTTCATCTCACCACTGGCTATTTGCCAATCAGTCCTCACTGGTATCTTGGCCTGTCCAGCTATATCCTGGACTATAGAGTACATATCTCTCGTCTTCTGTAGATGATACGACGTGCCGGCGACTCGGGGTTTATCGCCAACTATCTGCTGCAGATACCTTAAGGCGGATTCTTCGCTGAATGTGTCCCAACTCTGGAAGACGACACATTAATACATTATGTGAATACATCATGGACATTATCATACATCAGATGTTTGCCACCTTGCATTACTATATATATTTATAAAGTGCTTATAACAGTGCTGAATATAGGGGACTAGATAAATATAAGGCAAGTCTATGGTAGCATTTTCGTTGATAACTATCATTCTAATGGTAATTAATATAATTGTTTAAAAGGTGAGCGTGATATTCGTAGTCACAGATTTTACGACATTACTCTCAGATCAGTATTTTTTTATGAAGAATTATTGCCTTCTTCAGTGTGTTTTTGGAATAAAAATGTATATAATTTTTTTGAGAGTGAAAATTTTGCAAGCGTTACAAAAGAATTATACAGGTTATTCAAATACGAAATAGGAAAGGCTCAAGGGCGGAGACTATCCCAATTTATTTATCTGTTTAGTGATATGTAGGTTATCTATTATCGGGGTCAGGGTGTGGAGCAGGGAGTGCTGGATTTGGGTCCCAAAAGTAAGATTACACAAAGAGCGTTTTGACTAGCCTTCGCACACATTTATACACTTACACATGGGGGTTATTATATGTAATAATAACCCCCATGTGTAAGTGTATAAAAATATATGGCAATTCGATACTTACATCGCTAGGTACTTCAGTGTCGGGTATAACTCTTGGCATGTCATCCTCTATCAGTTGTGTAATGTAACCAAGCAGCATGTATAATCCCAAAACTAGTATTATAAATATACTAGGTACCTAAAGACATAGTGGTTACGGTTAACTATCAGTTTTGGACAAATACAATCTTACCAAAAGACATAAAATTTATAAAAATATTTATTTATTTATAATGTAACAAATATCTATAAATTAACAGTAACTTTTTGTTTTGTAACGGCAAAATGTAAAAAGAATTAAAAGAATAATCAGATATTATTTTAAATGTCTATGTAATTTACAGAGTATTTAAGATAGAAAAATTATAAGAAATATTTACGATTGTATAATTGTTAAAAAAATGATAGTAATTAAAACCAAAAATATCAAATGAATTATAAAAAATAAAATATTTAGAAGACATTAAAAAAGAGAGACACAACACAAAACACCACAAAAGTAAAAATAAAGCAAAAAAAATTACACAAAAACAAATGTAATACAAAATACCAACACCATATAAAACCTTCGTGAAACCTCTAATCTAGCCATGTTAGCTACAATATGCAAGATGGTGGGTAATAAGAATGTAAATAAAAGTTAGTAATTTCATTAAATACCCGGCTATATCATTAAAAATAGAAATAATTTTATGTTTTACGTTTTTTTTAAATATGAATGTTGTTTTGTAAAAAATATATAGGGATCAACGAAACGTTTAATCAATCATTTTTAATTCTTAGTTATTCTTAAAGGATTTAGTCTAGATTTGGACAATAAAGTACAAACACTAAGATAAGCAAACTTAGATAAATGCAAAACTTGACAATAAATACATATAAGTACATTATTTTTTTGGTTGTATCTTATACTATGCTATCCGTTGATTAGGTAATCAACGGAATAAGATACTAACTGTGAATTTAAAATTCATAAATTACTGCATTTAGAGGTGCACTTAATAATATTATGTGAACATATTGAGTTTCTATAAGTATTTTCCTTTTAATACACCCTGAAAAAAAAACATAAATATAATATTTGATAAAATTATATTTTTGAAACATGATAATGATAAATCTATATTTATGACTATATATAAAAAAGGCATTAAACATCTTACTTTATCTGGTAATCATTGCCTATTGTTTTGATATATACGGCATACATTTATCATAATAAAATTTGTAATAGTATTAAGCAAACATATAATTTTATCATTTTTTAAATATGATATACTTGATATCAGCTAACAAAACCCTTAATTTTCCACAAGTTGAACAAAAACATATAGACATATTAAGGCCCTTTATTTTTTTAATTTATCATTTACTCACTGATTTCACTGGCTCATATAAATGTACCCCTTTTCTAGTTATTTCAAAAACGACCTAGAATTGAAAAAGTTAATTATAACAATGAGCTCCCACGCCAACAAATGATAAAAAATTAGTAGGTTACAAAATAACTATAAAATAAATATAAAATAACAGTCACTATATACGTTATTATATGTTAGGATATTTATACTAGTGATGTGATAGTGATAGATGTGGTTTTGTAGAATGTAAGAGTGAAAGAATAAAATTCTGGGTTATAAATTATGAAGAAAAACAGGCACCTCTTTTTATCTTATGTTGTATTTTATTTTATGTTGAAAACTTTTTTAAATAACAACGTGGTTATATAGTTCATAAATATTATATTGTATTCGAATAGTAATGAAATAATGTGATTTTATGAATCGCATATTTTACTTATATCATTCATTCTTATAATCAGATGCAGTATGATTTTCGTTATATAATGTACATTGATTTTTTAATAAGTGTTTTATAAGGATTGTATGTACTTGTAACAGTTAATTTAAATCTACCTACACGTTTTATAACTTTTTCAGGCAGTGAAAAGCTACTACCGCCTCATATACAAATGGGCTTACAATAAAAATATAATAGTCCTTCGAGCCGGACATATTGTTTAAAAGAGATGATCTACGATACTTTATACTTTAAATTTACTTTAATAATTGTGCTAAAAATTTGTAAAAGTATAATTAGCAATTAGTAAAGAGTTTGCATTATTGCAGGTAAAATGTGTATATTAACCCGTTGCCAGGGCTTTTCATCTCGCACGTCATGATAATCGTATGTGGGTACGCCGGAGTATGGTCGAGGTTCTCTCTGAAAGTACAACATGCTGTAATTATAAACCAACATTTACCAATATTAATTACAAAGAATCAACATAAAGCATATTGAAATTGTCAAAAATTGTTAATCAAAAAAAATTTCCCCATTTAAGCTTTAGAATTATAATCTGTCTTCTGTCAGCGTTATCATGTCTCATTTTGCTAAGTTATTTGAAATTTTATTTAAGATAAACGCGATACCTATTTTATTACTCTCAATAAGATCTCGTAAAGTACAACGCGGCTTGCATAATCGAAATTGTGAGTTTTTTTAGGAATGTATACTTATAGATCGTTTTAGAATGTGTATAGGCCATATAGAAAATATTACACTCCGTAGATATGCTTGGCATGGTTGACAATTTCTATAGATGGACACAGTCACTTGACGAAGTTTTAAACATTCAACCCATCGTTCACATACGTACTTATATTTTACTTTTTACAAAATCCTAACACTTTTTATTAGTTAATTTATTAATCAGACGAGAGCTTTCAGACATCGTGGATATCAACAGCAAAATTCTTGGCCTCTAACCTTCTTGGTTCACTCAATAGTGGCTATCTGTCTTGTTTGATAATAGCCCCCTAACAACATAATGCAATCTAGAATAACAAAATCACTTCATATTACGTATCAAGATACAATCTTTAGCAAATTTTTTTCATGCTTCTTTTACTATTACAAAATTTAATATTACGTTTTTTAATAAAAAAAACAGGATTGTATAGGTAGGTAAATATGAGTTTCGTGAGCGAGCTTGGTTCAATGCTCTAAGATATTCAATATGTATATGCTTAATTTTTTTGCAAATATATTATTCCTTGTGTATAATTTTAAATAGAGGCACTGTGTTGATTTCCATTCTAAAATCGCACGCATTCGATTACGATTGACAATGTAAAAACCTTAATATTCTGGATTAGGAAGTACCTACATCTAATAAAGCCCACTGCTTCTACACACAAATGCTAAAATTCAAATACATTTACATAGTAATTATGTGAGCTTTAAAAACAGTGGGTGTTATTTGATAACACTACCTTGCTTTTACGAATTGTCAAGATTGAGCGTAAATAAATAATCGCCTAAATGCGGCGTCGTTCATAGATTGTCGTCAACTTCTTACCGATTGTACTAGCTAGCTTAACATGTGTATTTAAGTAGAGATAAAACGTGCTAATTCCAAGTATAACGAATTAGTAATAAGGTAAAAATTGCACCATACATACTTACAGATGGTTTAGTCATTCTTTTGGGTAGGTATTAGGTAAGATAAAATATTAATGTATAGTCTTAGATAATAAGGATAAATATTTTGTCATAGTTTTTTTTTAATTGTAACATTAGACAAATATGCATTTAAATGCATTAATGCTTAAATGTTTTATGTGCAAAATAAAACAGATAAAAAAAACTTTAGACTGTTGTTTAATTTTGCATAATTATTTATATTTTTTATTCAGACAACATTAACAGACTAACAGGTCTGCCCCAGGCAGCAGTTCGAGTGAGCCGAAACCATAAAATATGTTTAAAAAAAAAGCAAACCAACTTCCTATTATATTTTTATCCAAAGTGTAATTAAATGAAGGAGAAACATATTTTTATTAATTAACTTAAATTGTAAAAATAATCAGTCACATGAGATTACCATCCGTGACGTCTCACTTCAATAAACATGAGTTTTTTGCACTCGTAATGGAAATGTCGACGTTAAGTTTATTGAAAAATGACGTCACACTTTGCTCTTTTACAAAATAAATTCTACTTATAATACATTTTAAAACGAAAATACTACATAGTTATTGTTTACATACAAGTTACCATTTCCGACATATTTCATAATTTATTGTTATCACTGTCAAGTATTCAATTGTAAATCAACTTCATAAGATAAAGTTTCCGTCAAGTATCAGATTATGATTTCTTACAAAGGAAGGTTTTATTTTCACATAGCCGAACCATAACAAAAAAGGAATCCTGAATTTAGAAAAAATAGTCAAATATAAAAAAAAATCGCAAAGACTATAAAAAATAATCACTTTTGTGAAATAAAAAAATTATATACTAATATTATAAAGAGAAAATATTAAATTGTTTGTTTGTTTACATTGAAATAGGCTTCGACTGATTTACTCAATTTTTCAAACAAGAGCTAACATACGTGGATGACAATAGAGAAAGAAGTCTAGGGAAAACAGCTAGTGTAATATATAGAATTATTAGATAGGTATTTTAGCTCGGGTGTTTTCATAGTTTGGATATCACTTTGATAGAATGGAAAATACTTGAATGTTGCTTTTTATCCAAGACTATTTACCCGACTTCGCGATGCAAACGAAGGTAATGTGTTTATTAGTCTATGTATGTATGTTTGTTTCTATGTGGTGTTCTAGAGATCTAATGCGTAAGCCGATTTTAATGATTCTTTCTTCAATCGATACGTATTAACCTTGCGAGTGTCACTAAAGACATGACAGTAATCAAAATTCACGACAACCAGAAGCCATATTGTCTAAATGATAAAAAAAATAACCAATAATGCAGAACAGAACGACTCATAGTCGGGGGCCCTTGGGAAGATTTGATTGGTAAAATTTGAATGGGACCCCGACTGTGAGTCGTTCTGTTCTGCATTAGAATTTATGATTTGTTTTATGTGTGTATCGATTATAAAACTATTTCAATTGTGTAGTTATTTAGTATTACTTAACAGAATTCTAAACTACTGGGCTTGTTTCTTTCTTTTTAGTTTTCATTTAAGTTAATCTTTACATGTATTTTTTAAAATTAGTTTTTTTTTTTATAACTGTATATAACTCTAATTCTGTCAACCCCCAAAAAAACCTGCTAAACATATTTTTGTTGTGATTCTAATCAGTTTTATCTAATCAGTTCTCAGATTGCTCTCATTTTTTATATCTGAAATATCAAAGGTTACCTACATCTTTGATTTAAAGTTAAATAAATACCATTATTTCTCATATTTAAACTTTTAAGTATTTTCAGGTTAAATTGTTAGAAGAAGAAAGTAAATTTGACATGCTGTCGAGTGTAAATTTTCTTTGATTGAAATACAAGATTTTTTCAAATAAAGGAACCAAAAGACCGTCTCGGCAAAAATATAATGTGAGGAATTGCACGGTAAAATAATTATGTATTAATGTATTACTCGCAAATGATTATTATAAAATGCATAATTCGTTTGACTATAAAGTAACTCACATATTAACCAATTTTAAAAATGTTATAATTATATCAACAAATGGTTCGTTTGTATCTAAATGTTTTAAATATATATAATACGTTTATGGTTCTATTGACTTTATATAGATAGATATCGGTGTCTATTCGCAGTCTAGAGGATGATCTCCAATAGTTAAATAAATATATGTGAAATAATTATCTTGTTACATTGTTAAAAATAATTTCAAATTAGGGTGGTAAAAAAATAGTCACTTTTGTGGATTCGGGTTAGATAGAATATATAATTATATTAAATAGAATTCAATGTTCTAAATCGATAAAAAAGTTTTTTTGACCTGTTTAAATGTCTTAATTTTTCTTTAATTTTCGAATGAATCACTAGTAAATATTATGAAAAGATAGGTCACTATTAGTTTACATTTGAAATTATTATTTGAGTCTATTAACTTATCACCTTTGATCCAAGTCGTCTCTTCCTGGTAGAAATTTTTGATTCCTCCTTATTTTCCATCTCGTTTCACTTTTTAGCGTACCTTTATTACTGTCACTACTTTTTATTAACAATGTCAATACATAAGCCTATACACTATAAAGACAGTGTTTTATTTTTTAATATTTACTTCTGTTTAATTTTCTTTCATATATATATTTCACAACACTGTTGCCTGCACAGTTTCTCCACCGACACCTCACAACAGAATGATCCATAAATTTCCAATACATTTATCTGCGATATAGCTAATCTCTTTTAATGCACATCTATAAAATTTCGTCTATAATCCTCTCCTAATAAATAACGTTCATACTTTGACATGAGTTTTTAAATCAATATTTTATTTATATATTACAATATTTGGATCTAATAAACTCTACTTACCACAATTCTAGAAATGTTGCAAAACTGTTTTTGGATATTTAGATTAGTAAAACAGATATTTTTTTGGAAGTAAACCTGTAAATTTGTTGTAAATAAGTAAGAACTGTACAATTTTTTTATAACTGTAGTAATATCATATTTAAATAAATGTGCAGTAAAGGCGTCAAGAAAGACTTTTTCTTTTTAAGGTTCCGTAGTAAAAAAGAAACCGCTGTATTGTGTAATAGACGAAGTTACGGCTTACAGAAAAACTTTTCAGCTGGCAGATAATCTGCATCGGTTTTTTTCCCACCTTAAATATCGAAATGACAGTTGAACGTAATTGTTTCGTTCGCTCCATCACGAGAAAATATTAACAAAATGAATTTGCGATACAAATAAACAAACTAATAGTTAACATTCAAAATTCAAAATCGGTAAGAAAAATAAATAAAAGCCAGTAACATTTATTTTTTTTCAGTAAAAAGTTTGTCTTAAAACTTTCACACGTGGTATTTAATCCGAAATTTCGAACAACTCCAGACAGACGTGATTATTTTTAACTTTTTTGTGAGTTATAGTAGGAACTCTTCGTGCGCGAATCCGACTTGCACTTGCCCGTTTTTTAAATATGAATCGACAACATACATCTGAAAATAGTAAAAACAATAAAATCTTAGGTGGTTCGCGCTAGGGATTTGTTAGATGTTAGAAAGTTTTTAATACGGCTTTTTATCGCTTTTAGTAATATACGATTCAAATTGATATTAATATTTCTATTAAAGATCATATACGCAATTTTCGAATTTTACATACTGGAAAAACTTAAAAATTTAAATATATGGTACAAAAAATAACTTCTAAATAAAGACCTTCCAGTTATTTTGACATAAGGACAAAAAGAAATATAAAACCATTTCGGAAGAAGGAAGATATATACTCTATAGACAATCAATAGGTTCAGAAATCACGAAGTTATGTATGACCGAACATTAAACAAAAGAGAACTTCATCTTTTTTAAGTCAGTTAAAAAAGTATTAGATTTTTTTTTAAGTAGGGACAAAATTTTATACAATATATTTTTATATTTGATACAATATAGTGAGAAAAATTGCTTAAAAATTTAAAGTTTTGGAAGAAGAAAACTTTGAATAGTATTTATTTATTGGTTAACTGTGATAAACATTCTAGAATGATAGATGGTTAATGTAAAATTGATACCTACAAATAAAGTCAGTGGAAGAAGTATTTCAACTTACTGAGTACAAAGTTAAATTTCCTTAACTAGTTACCAACCAATCTTAGCTATCGGAGAGGCACTTAGAGACGACCTCGGTGGTCGATTGTTTTACACGCAGATTTCATAACGTTGTCATCTCTCAATACAGTTCTGTCCATTGAGCAAAAGAATCCTTTCATTTGGATTCTTTTCCACCAATGTTTATGGTAATCTATTATTGTGAACCAATAAAACACCCCGGACATTGATCCAGGAACTATATTACCTACTATAAAAACATAAAATAGACATTATATCGCCAATAAAGTAATTACACATATTTTATGATCAGTTTAATACGCTTTCGTTCGCAAATCCTAAAATAATGCTGATATCGTATCTATTATATTATTTGAAATAAACTTCAGAAAATTTTCTATTTATTTTTAATATTAAACAACAAAGTCACTGTTTTTATTGCATTCACGATCAAAAAAACGATTTATTTATTTTTGCATTCACTCAATATAGCTTTAAAGTTATAATTAGGTTTTGAATTAATAAAAAAACAGAGAAATACCCAAGGTATTTTATCAACAATGTCATGGTTATCGCGTCAAGTAGTTCAAAAACTTTTATTGTACATTATAAAATTGATTAAACTAATCCAATCCAAATACTATTTTTAAATAAGCAGGCTTTTCCTTGGGAATTAAATATTGTTTTTTGAGAGTTAGTCAGTTTTAAGGTTCCGTCCTCAATGGGACGGACAGGAGCCTATTACAAATACTTCGCTGTCCATCTGTCTGTCACCAGGCCGTATCTCATCAACTATGATAGCCAGACATTAAAATTTTATGGTGAATACTATACACAGAATAAAATAACTACTTAAGGGTACTCATACACATGAAATTAGTTTTTTATATAGACAATGGTACGGAACCCTTCGTGCGTGAATCCGACTCGCACTTGGCTGGTTTTTGTTTATCCTGCAGGAGTTTTTATTGGCTTAGAATAAATACCGAATTCAGTGCAATATACTACGGATGTAGGTGGATCCATCCGTAATTCGCAACTGCCAATATTAATAATGTCGCTAAAAAGTACCCAATAGTAACACAGATAGGATTTCCTCAGTCGACTTTTACAACTTGGCGAAGGATGAGTTATGTTTAGGAGTCTTACATCTTAGCCGAATTTTATACAACAAGGGACTGGATGTTGTGAACATAAAACCCTGCATTCTCTTTTTTCAATATCTGTTAGTTCTTATCGTAATAATTATTAGCTGACAATCGCTTAAGCTTGTTCCCGATAAAAAAAGTAAAGTTCAAAAAAAATACCTGGTTCGAAATGCGACAATTTTTTAAAGTGAACTAGTCACATGACAGTACCTATATGGTTTACAGTTTTCAGTATTTCTTGAATTTTGACGCAATTTTGACGTCGAGTAGTAACAACACCCATAGAAAGAAGAAGAAAGAAAATGCAGTTTACGAGTATAAGTGTAAGTTCATTAAATGTAAAATATGGAAAATGTTATAAGTAATAATTGTTTTAGTGTCGAAACATCCGAGGCCTGTGGTCACATTAGCAAGTGTGCTAACAAGCAACGTCCTGTGGCGAAAGTATTACATACTCCTTGGAACTTCCTTTATAAATAATTTATTTAGTAATGAACTAGTACACACAGCAATACATCAGGTTACTACAAAATACAAAAAATTTGCAATTAATTTTGTGTACTAACATTAACAAATGCAATAGAGGTTTAAAATCAAATGGAGCAATTTGACATTATTGTATAACCTGATATGCTCTTGACTGTACAATTTCAGATTATAATCAATAATTAGTGAAGGATTACATAAAAGCATCTATGTATGTATAAAAAGTAAATGACTAGACAATAATACCAATTTTAATATAAGTATACTAACTGTATTGGTTTTATGTTGCTCTTTATAGATGTGAGCAAGCTGTCACAGTGTAATAAAACATGAAATTATCAAGATATAGTAATTCTAAATTACATTTAAAATGCAATGCCCAGTGGCATCAAAAATTTTAAGACTATATTGATTTATCTAAATTACATTTAAAATGAAATACAGAAATTCTGTATAGAATCTTTAATAAAGATAATAATAATTTATTTATGAATATAAATTCTATGGTTTATCATAATATGCAGTTGTCTAGTAATGTATTAATATTGTCTATTGCATCATCAATAGCAAATAATATATCGACTTGTAAGAGTATATCACATGCATGAACGCATTAATAAATGCGGCCACACACCCTCCACATGCAAAACTGGAGCAATTTTGACAAAGAGTTGTAGAGATGCCCATAGAAAGAAGAATAGTCTTTAAGCTTTTTTGCACATCACCTATGGAGGTTATAAATTAAAGAATTTTAGTATATGAAAGCTGGTATTTGAGTTAACAATTAAATATTTTTCTTTTGGTGGACCTGTTTTTAATTTGATTTGGTTAAGTTTAGTGAATTATAGATTTGCCTTTGATCCATCACCGCATCACCAATTTCTTTAATCTCTTATTATTATTATTATTCCCAACTTAATAGAATAGAATAATTTGTTGTTACATATTTCATGAATTATCATTGAGTTTTTGTTACAATCTTGTGTATTTAAAATTTAACTTGAATAATTACTTAAAACCGACTTTGCTCTGTATGAAGTTGTAATGTGAGTAATATTATCAGTTGGAACAAATCAATACATTATCTATATAGATAACACACACCTTAATACGACATGCTTTAAAAATAATTCTATTAATCACCAAAAATCTAAATATAATGAATTTGTATTAGAATAAAATAAAAAAAAACTTCTAGTGTATTTATTATGAGTGTTTAATTTTTTTTTTACATTTGCTACGGTCCCTTATCGTATTTTATACTTATTCCATTGACCGAACCAAGTGAATGTAATCAACTAGTTTTATACCAATTTCTATCAAAAGTTACGTATTATGCTGACAGAAGAACAGACTATAATTAAATTGTGAGTCGTATTACATAATTATTGATTAAAATTAATAGAAAGAATATTTTATCTTACCGTATATGTCGCTTTTTTGTGCTTTAGCCCATTTATTTCGTCGCCGGAACCCCTCATATTATTTACAATTATTTACAACTTGTAACTTTCGAATCAATAAATGTATCAATTAGTTTATTATTTTTTAAACCCAATAATAGGATCTGTAGGAATAAGTCGATCGTAATGATATTTAAGTAATGATAATGAATACCTTGAAAATAACTTTCGATAAAATAGTTTCAAAACAAGTCAGTCAGCTGTCTGTCACTGTCAGTAGTAGTACCGTTCCGTCCATGGGATAGGCGAAGGAACTAAGCCATACAGCCAAATCTTGGGCTGCCACTGTCAGTGTCATTTTATGTTCCCTTATGTATCTTTTTTTATAGTACCTCTTGTTTGGGACGGGCAAAGGATATTAGACCCATACAGCCCTCTCTCGATATTCTTTATCTTTCAATTTTTTGAACTCTAGTTTTGACAAATCTGTATACAGTAACATAACTGTTTATGTTTGATAAGAGTTT